CTCCCTATTAAGAGCAAGCTCCCTACTGGGAGTCCGAGCTCCCTATTAAGAGCAAGCTCCCTACTGAGAACCCGAGCTCCCTGCAAGGAGCACGAACTATACTGGGCCCCAAGCCTCACAAAAGCTGACCCGAGCTGGCCCATGGCAGCTCGAAACACTCCGAACCGAACTCAAGACACCTCGCTCGCCACTCCAACACTTCGCTTCCGAAACACCAGGCTGATCAAACGTACCCGACACCAAGGATGTCCGTATCCAAGGGCGGCGCACCTGACTGATTTGGGATTTGACACCTGACAGCCGCACTTCAAACGGCTTCCTGCTGCCGCCACCTGCAACCGTCGTCACTAGCCGCAGAGACGGCTCCGACAAAAGGAGTAGTGGCGGTTCTGTCCGGCTAGAGGAAATGACATCCGAACTGGCAGGGGTTCAGAAGTAATCATGCCCGATCTGACGGAAGCCTGAAAGTGAGTGCGCGAGGTGGTTATAAAAGGCTCCTACCCCCCAGGAACGAGGTATGCTAACTTCTGCGCTATCTGGTTTATCTTGCCTTTGAAGGATTCTAACTTGGGCTTCGGAGCCTTTACGTCGGGTTCTCCCTGGAGTTTCTCTTCTCCTTCCGTTTCAGGTCCCTGTTACTCAGTTCAGAGGCAAGATCGTTGACAGCCAAGACCGGCCAGATTGTGCATCATCAGCTACCATTAATAATATATCCCGAGAATTGCATCAGTAAGACTGGGAATAACTTTCCTATTTGACGGCAAAAGCGAAAGAAAAAACAGAAAAACAGAAAAAAAAAAGTCGTAGAATGTAGGAACCCCCATAGCTTCACCCCGCCGGGTTGGACCTCCGGCCCGGAGTCAGAGTCAGAGTCAGTACAAGCAAAGCTTTGTCATGATATTTCATGAATGTGAAAACTGAAAACCAGAAGAGGAGAGCTAGTGGCGAGTGGAGCTGGGGCCAGGCCATGGCTGTCTCTAATTGAAAAGCAAATAATGGTGAGTAGTGGTGACAACTGACAAACAATCCTCCTGCCTGCCTGGGTTTATCCAATAAGGCGGCAAGATTTGTCACGTCAGACTGGCGGTGTGGCCAATCCCACACTCGCGGGTGGAACAAGATACCTCAATCTAATATGTGTTTCGTATAACTTTTATTTATTAAATAAATTTTGGTACTTGATTTGTTATAAAAACTGCGAAAAAATGATTGATAAATGTTTTGTAGGATTTATGACCACTAGATGTCATTAATCACATCAACGTTAATAAATGCTTTTATATTGGGGAAACGCTAACTGTTTGCTGGTATATAAATCAAGAGAAGAATTTACCAATAAATATACGTATAAAATATAGATGATGAGACACATGTTGGTTTAGCAATGATATGACACCGTTTATGAGATAAATGGAAGTCATACCAAAACCCATTTAAAGCGTTCTCACCTTATTGGTTAAGAACTCTCATACCACCTCATCGTCATCATCATCATTCTTTTTCACCATTCTGATTTATGTAGTGTCATATCTTTAAATAATTTTTTATTATTTTCACACAAGTCCTTTTTCGTTCCCTAGTTCTTTGAATGCCTTGTACTTATAATATATCACTTTTTTTTTTCTAACAAGTATTGTAGATGATCTTCCATGCATGTGTTATGAATTAGGGAAAAAGGGCCAATCCAAACCATCCAGTGTGTTATCCTCTTGATTGACCACATTTAATCATATAAGACCTATAATGCTCTTTTTTTTTCATTTCTTTTGAAGGGCTACACAACGGGGGCTGGCCCATCCCCCAACCTGTGACCCCCCACTCCCCACCCAGGTGCAGGCGGGATTTGGTTCCAAGTCTCCACTACAACTAGTAGGAGACCTTACCAACCCATTGGTTGGCACCTTGTGATAGTAGAAATATTCCCCTCGAGGGTGGGGAGATTTTGGATTCCCCACTCATTCGCCACATAGCAGATTCTTGGGTTGTTTGGGGACCTTCCCTAAACGATTTGAGCTCAACTAGCAAACCCCTGATTAAATATTTTTGTTTCATCTTTAGACATTATTATAAGGTCAACATAATCTTATAAATTAAGGCCATGTTTGGTTCGCTGCTCTGGGGCTCATATTTTTGATTCTTACTCATTTTAGGCAAGAATGAAAAACATTAGAGCACTTGGTTACAAAATTCTTGTCATGGGTATCATTCTTTTCAGAATGAAAATCAATCCATAGCACAAAAATTAAGGCATCCTACAGCATGAAAAATAATCATGCCCATCTTGCTCATTTTCATTCTTTAAAGAAACTGTATGCCAATGATCATTAATCACCGTCGTACGTCTTCAAAGCCACTACCCTTAATGTTTGTTGGTGGACTGTCATGAAAACTTATGCCAACGAACATTGACCACCAACCATCCACCGGTAAACATCAATGCGATGATTTTGGAGACCTAGGTTGACAGTTTATGACTTCTAACATAGTTTTGTTTAAGAATGAAAATAAGCAACACAGGGCACTGGCCAATTTGAAAAGAATCCACTTTTAAGATAAAAGTGTTTGGCATAGTAGTATTTTCTCATTCTTCCCATTTTTACCCATTCTTTTCCATTTTAGAATTTCATCTTGCATAAGAATGAGAAAGAATGAGAGTCGAACTAAACATGGCCTAAGGGAAATTGTCTAAAACATTCCATGACTTTTCAGCATTTCTCATAAACTCACCATAACTTTTCAAAACATCCAAGGAACCCCATGTCAGCAAGTAGATGTTAAATAGACTAATGAATGTTGGTAGATAATTATTTTACCCTTTGTTCTGTGTAAATAGAAAATAAAGCAAAACATTGATAAAAAACAACAAAGATATATCTCAAATATTTCAGACTAAAACTTCTGCCCATTTTACATATTGAAGTAAAAAGGGGGCTTCAAATAAAAAAATTGAACACTTCTGATTGAAATCAAACTCATCTGACTCTCCATATCTACTTGCACAACACAACTGTCACTTTATCCCTTCTAATTTCAAATGCAACAAGATCTGAGTTTATGGCCAAGAAGAGGCCACGTGGCTCTATAGAACCCAACGTCCACTGCTATCAGATGTCAATTAGAACAAAGGTGTATTGAATAAAAATTAGGCTGACATGAAAATATGTTTAATAAGGCTGATATGCCCATTTAGGGACAATTTAGTCATAAAGATTGCATTTATACTGATGTGAACAACTTCTATGAACACTAACGGTGCTCTAATGGATGGTGATTTTTGGAAAACATAAAGTCATTGACATGGAATTTCCTTAGATGTTTTGAAAAGTTATGGTGAATTTAAAAGAAATGCTAAAAAATCATGGTGAAGTTAGAAATGACTGAGTTATAATTGAAATCAAGTGAAGTAACTTTGAAATATGAGAGCAGATTGAGATAATTTGGTCACTTACATAGAACACCATCTATAGCATCTGTTAGAAAAGGCGATTTGTTAAAAGTTGAATGGATTAGAACTAGGGACTGACAAAAGGACTTGGATGTAATAAGAAATGATTTAAGCACCCATAATTGAACAATGGATATGACCCTGAACAAAACAAAATGGCAAAACTGAATTCATGCAGCCAACCCCATATAATTGAAACAGGCTTAGATGACAATGATAATGATTTATATCTTTTAAAATATATTTTTTTAATTTTTCTAAAAAGTCTCTAATGCACATTCCATTCATTTCAGCATATCTCAGATACAAAATCCTTGGAAAGGGTTAAGAAAATGTACATACCAAGTTCAAGGACCTGGGATCTGCTCACAACAATAAAATTTCCCAACAAGTTCCAACATAATCTGTGCCGCCCAGCTTACATGAGATTGGGGCCACTATAATAAGATGTGCAAACACAGATCATGTAGGAACTTGTTGGGAAATTTTATTGTTGTGAGCAGATCTGGCTCCAATTACAAGGCCCCTTTAGGTCAGCTCCAATTACAAGGCCCCTTTAGGCAAAGCTAAAACTTTTAGGCTAAGTTTGAGAAAAATGCAAATAGAAGGTTTAGAAATACTGTTTACAAAATCTGAAATCACTCCTAACACCAACCTCACAGCACTGGTAGCTGCACATCGAAAACATCTCCCATAGTAAGTAGCAAATCTGAAGTCCGACATACAAAGGTTTTGAACCAAACATATTTATATCTGCACTCTTTCCAAAAATAGCCTTAATACTACATCTATGGCTATGCAACAATTCCTCTTTACCCGTTGCCAATTGCTTTTGCTTTGGTTGGGTTGGACTCAAGCATCTCATTTGTTTGAATCTGCCCCTTTTAACCAACTACGCAAGTTTTCCAACATTGTTTATCATATTTGTATACAAGTTCTCTCTACCTAAAGGGTGCATGCTTACACATACATACTAAAATTCTTATCATGCAGCCATAGCTAAGATTTTCAATGTTTGGACTGTTTGCATTAGTACTTGGAGTGCTTTTATAATTTGAAATTGATTTCGAATACAATCTGGTTAAGGGTCACCCAAATTTGATCTGTTTATTAGTTAGACCAAATATGGATACACCCATATAATCCAATTCGATAAAATTTATACTATATGTTTACTAAACAATCATAAGTTGTAGCCCTAGCCTCATAGAAGCTATTTTCAATTTATTTTATTAACGACATACAGTCATACACTATCAGAGTCGTGTTTACTTCATTTTATCAAATAATATATAATAAATAGTTCGATCTTATTTAATTCAACTTATTTTCGTTAAAATGGTGTTCAACAAGGACAACATCAGAAGGCAAAAAGACCTTAAAGAGATGATTGCTTATCAATATTAAAGGACTAAAGTACTTGTTTCTTCTGTATCCCCATTCCCCAGGAGACAGAAAAGCTCAATTACAGACTCATTTTACCTGCCAAGTACCAAGAATGCATGGCGAGGCTGCCAAAGGACATGATGTTGGCAAGAGAAGATAGCCCGTGAATCATTCCAAACTTCTTGTTCATGGTAGCTAGCTTTGGATTTACCTTGGCCACCTCTACGTTCTTCGACCACCCAATTTCCTCTCCAATGTTCTCTTCTCTCTCCACCTTGTGTCTCTGCTTCATCATCTGAATTCCAAATACAAAACCAAATGTGCAAGAGTTGAGACAATACCCCCATCAATCCATTCAACACACCAGGTTTCTAAGCTATTTCTTTTTCTTTTTTCTTTTTTAAATCATAATTGTTTTAAAAAGACGAAAGTCCCCAACTTAGGAAAAACCCTAAAAGTTTGCAAGCCACATTCATGTTGTTTGTTTTTCCCCCTTTTTATTGCCCAGTTCCTCCATTTCTTTTTGTTTCCAGCAACGATGAAAACAACCTTGATGATTGATGAATTTGCACTGTTAAGAGAACTGATTTTTTTATTTTTTATTTTATTTGGGAGATGGAAAGGAAATTACCTCGATTGTCATGGGTGTGAAGACGAACAAATTGGCAATATTGAAAGCGAAGGAAGAGATCAGAAACCCAAACTGATATCTTTCGGCAGGGGAAGACGACCGCCATGGATGGAGGTATCCGAAGGAGGCCACCGATATCGCACAACAGACCCCGACCAGCGAGAAGTAGGCCGGAAACATCTTGCTCTGCAGGTTCCCGAACTGGTGTCTCGGGAGATTCCTAAAACGAGAAAACAGTAGTTAATAAAATCGACGATAAAGGTTAAAAAGATTAATAAGGATTCAATTGGAGGGAGAAAAGGAGAGGCGTAGTTGGGGATTGGTGTTAAGTGATAGCCTACTTGAACATGATAATTCCGCCGATGAAGGTAACCCAAAGAGCTGCGCCAAAAGCGGTTGAGAAACACAAGAGATGAGCGAGCTTCAGAGTGATGGTGAGCTTGGACGAATATCCGCCATCTGATTTTGATCCGAAGGTTTCTGGAGAGAAGAGGATGCCGAAAGCCAGGAATGCTACAGCCACTAGAAATCGAGTTAACCAAGCCATCCCTCTCTACCTTTCTCCCTCTTATGTTGGTGTTTCTCTCTTTTCGTTGGCAGAGGACAGAGGAACGGAGAGGCTCTGGCCTTTAGGCTCTAGCCTCTAGAGGAAAGGAGTTGCAGACTACAGAGACGAATATCGCTCGCTCGCTTCGTGAAAAATATCCTCCTGAATCCTCATCGCAAGTTTCTTTTGAAGGGTAAATTTCTTAAACTAGTTAATTTACCAAATGTATCCTTACACCTTGAAAATTTATTAACGCTATTCCTACGATTGACCAACTTTACCTTTACGTTAATATTCTCTTAAAATCCGTACACACATTACATATCACATGACGTTTAAAATTTTTTAAAAACCATTGTCATCTTCTCTTGACTCGGCACACCATCCCTCCTTCGACCTCTCTCTTCCCTCTATCTTCTTTCTACGGTCTCCATCAACACCGAATCACCGGGAGCAACTGGTCGCATTGCATAAAAGAACCAAAAAAAAAAAAAAAAAAATTTAAAGCATTTGTCAATCTTTTAACAATCAGGACATCTATAATCCTTTTCTCCACCGGAGCTCCTCAAAATGAACTTTCCAGCTTCATCCTCTTTCTTTTTTAACAGTGGGGTTGCGTTGCTGAAGAAGTAGAGAACAAGTGAACCGAATAGGGGTGACAGTGGCAACCGAAGTGGTATGACTTATGAGCAAACTAAACAGGAGTAACAGCGATGACAACCCCTTTTGAACTCTAATATTTCTTTCTCTCTCTCTCTTCTTTCTCTAGGCGATAGAGGTGGCAACCCCCTCTGAATTCTGATCTCTCGCTCTCTTCTTCCTCTAAGCGATGACGACGACAATCCCCCATGAACTCCGATCTCTCTTTCTCTCTCTTTTTCCTTTGGGCAATGGTGATAGCACTTCCCTATAACTCCACCCAGCAGCAGAATCACCCGACCATTCTCCCCTCTTCTTTCCTCTTCCTTTCTCTATTCTCCTATGTTCTACCTCCCCTTTCCAATTGAAACCAACCATCCAAATTGCAGCGACAGCTCTTAATTTTGTCATTGACCAGTCAACAGGGAAATCATCTATGTTGAATTGTTAGGGGCCCGAGATTGGAAAAAGACCTGAGAGATTCTACCAGACTGAAGAGAGTCTTGTTGTAGGGTCGTCTTTGAGCTTTACATTTTTTTAAACCATAGGACTATGAACATCATTGCAAAACTAAATATTTTGGACTATAAAAGGATAATTTAGATATTTTGCATGGATTTTGGCGTAGGGCTGCTGTGCCATTGCAAAACCAAATATTTTGGACTATAAAAGGATAGTTTAGGTATTTTGCATAAATTTCGACGTAAGGCTAATGGTAAGAATAGAATTAGTCAAAGTACTAGGGTCAGTCAATTTTCAAACAGAATATAGTTAGTCAATTAGCTTAAATCATAAAGATATTTAAGAAATTTACAATTGGTTCGTGGTAGGTGGGTGGTAGGTGGGAATTCAGTGAGTCGGTAGACTCGGCACATGGCCTTGATAGGCGCTACGTGTCACATACAATGATACAAATCTATGATCGATGGTTTGCGAAGATGCTCCGATTTGCGACTACCAAGCACCAAGCAGTATTCTGTCAGTAACCCACCTTATTCCAATGGGACCGCGTACATTGAAACCTGCCAAATCCAATCGAACGGTCATAAGCAATGGGACCCATATAGCTACCGATCTCTGCAACCTTTGGATGATGGAAGATGTTTACTTCGATGAACTTCCCCCTTTCCCTTTTTTTGTTTTCATAATGCAAATAAGGGTATCAATGGTCCGGTTTTGGACTGGACCCGTTTAATAAAAAAAAATAATAGATTGGAACAATCCAGTCCAAAATATTTATTAGATTGGACTGGAGCTAGTATGTTCATAATAAATTTATATGGAGCCCAATACAGATTTATGAATTTTACTGTAGAGCTATAAATATTCAAAATGTCAAAAACCCCCCGTTCTATACACCAATGCCCGCCCGTGAATTAACATCAATTCTGAGCTGACATCTACCCCAACTGTACTTTGGGCTGAATTTTCATTCTCCCTAAATTTATATTGGATTTGGTTGGATTAAGCCAACATCCAGTCCATTGATATAAGATAAGAATATAGGTGTCAATGGACCGGGTATGGGTTGAAACCAATCTAAATTAAAATGAATTTGAATAAATTGGATGGTCCAAAATGGTCCAAATTATTCATTGGATCGGATTGGACTTGATCCATTTGTAATGGACTGACATTGGACTGGATCGGCTTGGACCAAATCCAGTCCAATCGACACCCCTAATTGCAAAGCCTATTCATTTGCTTTGACATTGAAAGTGTAATAATTACATTAAGAAGTACATTGATATTGAACTTTTCTTTTAATCTTATTCTGAATTCTAAAAATTATCAAATATCCATTTTGATCTTATATATGAGAGATTTTGTTTGTCTTTTTGGGTATCATTGGAAAACAAAAAGTTGTATAATTATCCTTCAAGAAATAAGAAATAAGTGGAAGGAACACCTGTTTTTCTCTTATAGGTTAAAAGATTCCTCTTAAGAAAAAAGAATTAAGAGGAAACGAACATGTTTGGTAAATAAAGGTTAATTTGTATTTGATAAAAAAGCTAACATCCATACCCAACTTATTAACCTCCTCCTCAGTCTTGATGGATTATCTCCGGGAGCATGTCTGCGGTTCTGCACAACAGGAAGGGGTTGAGGGAACACCAGAAAAGGGCGATGCTATGCTTTTTCCGTTCCGAAAACTCTACCAAATAAACAAGGAATGGAAATTACTCCATGAAACGAACAGGCAACAGCAAATACTCTCAATTCCCCCAATCCAATATGCTTAATGAGTCATTGTGGACACAAGCTTCTGTTCCAAAATCAGAATAATTTCTCTGCCAGGAAGAGTAAATACCCATGCTAACCTGCTTCATGATCATCTGACATCCATCTTTACTGTGGACTCAAATGATTCACTTGTGCATCGCCCTGAAGTATGTAGGAATTAAACTGCCTTAGCTCAAATACACTAATTCTTCATAAAAAGCTTAATAAAAAAAATCTTATTTTGCCGTTAGTATATTAAGAACAAGAAGAATATAAACTCACTCCTAACGGACAACCACAATGTATAAAAATAAACTGAAGAATAATACCTGATGTTCAGATAAATGACACTGCAGGCGGAGAGACTGCATCTGTTTACAGGTTTGATGTTTGTGGGGAAAGCCCAATTATACATTCCATTACCAAGAATCAAAATTTTGCATGGGCTGATACATATCGTATTGGTGACTGAAATCCTTGGTGTTTCAGGGTTGACCCTATTTCAGGGGGTGGACAGTCCTTATCCCCCTGATTTGGTTTGGAAAAAAACAAAAAACTAATATAACACATGCTGTTACAAAGTCCGATACACCCCATCTGGCATATCGGACTATCTCAATTTGAATCTTGTCCATTACCACTTAGAGACACAGCAACTCAACATCATCATCTAAGCCTTATCCCAGCTATATGGGGTGGGCTACATGAATCATGTTTGCCATTCCATTCTATAAGCACTTAAATGAAGACATACATAGCAAGTCAATCCCTAAATTAAAAATATGAAAACAGAAATCAAGTAATGCATATTTGCTCTTATAAAAAATGAACTCAACAGGAAAAACATGTCAATTACATGTGATGGTGCAGTCCCCCTCACTCACTTTCTGAACATCAATACCCATCCAAGAAGGATGAACCAAGGGATCATTTATAATATTCCAAAAAATGCAATGGTAGTTAAAGTACGCAGATAAAACAACAAGTATCAATTAGTTTGGCCATCAACTGCCTACAGAAATCTCCCTTATTCTTTGTTGTGAAAACCTTCCCTGATCAAGTTAGCATATCAATGCCAGTTTAAGACAGGTTACATCCATCTTGGGGATGCAGCAAGCTTGAGGGAACACCCATTTTACTTGAAACATGTAAAAGAGAACAAAGAATTAGCAATATTCTTAAAACTACTAAGTTTGTCTTCATTTTTCATACAAAAACCTGAAAAGTTGAGACACAGTAAGGAAAACAACACTTAAAAGCTAATTAGGCGTGGAAGTGAATTAAGCTTTGCACATTCACAGGATGAGTCCATCTGCACCCAAACAAAGAAGTAAACCATTCCCAAATAACTTTAACAAACTGACAAGAAATTAGTAAATGGTATCCAAACTCACCATCGGATTTGCAGAGGACACACCAGTGAGGGGACAAACAACTATTAGGTCTTTTTCATTGAAGTAGATCCCCTGTATTAACTCTATCCAGAAAGGCTTTAGTTGTAATCTTTTGATTAATAAAATTTTCCTTTTATTTATTACCCAAAAAATTATTACAAGATTTAACTATCTTGTATTGGGTCTTTTTCATTGAAATTAGTTCTCTCTTTCAAAATTTAACTTGCATATTCTTGTATTTTAAAACTATCTTTTCATTTCTTTTTATTCATAAAAAATGTTATATAGGATAGAGCGCTATGAAATCAAGAAACATGTTCGAAGAGTGAGTATAATTGAGAAAATGATGCTGAAATGGATAAATGACAAGACTAGAAATGATACAATTAGAAACAAAGATATTAAAGTTTAAAGTACCCCCAATTGGTGACAAGATGAGAGAAATTTGACTGAGATGGTTAGGTCAAATGTAAAGATAATGACTAAACCAATGAGAAAGAACAAAAGTGACTTGGTGCAAGTAGAAGGTTCTAAAAGAGCAAGGGGAAGATGAAAGAAAATGTTGCCTATATTGGTAACAAATCATCTAAGGACTTAACATAGATATTGACAGAGTTTATGCAACCAACCCCAAATGATTAGGATTAAGGTTCATTTTAGTTATTTAGTTATCTTTTGTTTTCTTTTTTTGTAGTTATGGAGTATGACTTCTCCAACATATTGATGCATTCTTAAGTAAACTCCTCAAAAACTTAATGTATTCTTTGAGAGGGTAAGTAGTAGGAACCAAGAAGTGTAAGGGTAAGAACAAATCACAACTTGGGTTTCAAGACTGTCCATACCCCATAATATAGCAGATGGCTAAATAACTCAACTTCAGATCTCAACCATAGTTTTCAAGGCATCAAGGTGAGGCTAGGTAGTAGAGGGTATCTTGTTGCCAAGTTGCCTGGGCAGGCACTTAGGTATCACCTAGGTGATGGATGTTTTTTAATAAAAACCATGAATCCTGGGGTAGTTCCCTAAGTTCCATAGCATCTTACAACCATCTTTCATGAATAATTATATATAATATTCACAAAAAAAAGCATAAACTTCATATTAATATGTAGAAAAACAACATATTAATGAGAAGAAAAGGAAGAAAAGAAAATTCAAAAAATATAGGAGCTAAGCCCTTGTTTTGTCCTAGGAAAAAGAAGAGTTTTTCCTTGCTTATTGGTTCAGGTTTTGAAGTCCTTGATAGTTGAAGACAGCATACAGAAATATGTCTGTTGATTGAACCCTAACAAATAAGAAAGCAGTACATCTCAGAAAAATGGTTGTCTAAATAGTTGGTTTGTCATCTAGACAACCATTTTTCTGAAATGTACTGCTTTCTTTTCCAATTTTAATAAAATTTCCTTTTGATCCTTAAAAAAAAAGAACTAGTATATAAACCCCACAAAATGAATATTTTAGTTTAATAATGTCTGTTTTATTATTATAATCTCAAAAGTTAACAATATAAAAGTGTTTCATAGTGCTGTACAAATAATTAGTTTCATGATTAAGTGAGTTGGCCCTCCATGGGCACCTTGGTGCAAGGTATTGCCTTGACAATTATTACTTTACCAACTAATAAAGAAAGAGCATGTTTTGAGGTTGCGCAAGGAGGGATGGAGGTTTAAAATGGTAGGAATATCTTGTTAGTGTAAGAGTGTTAAAAGAGTTTGTTTAAGGGAGGAGCACAGAAGACTAAAGGTTCGTGTGAAGAATGGGGTGCTGACTGCTGAGATAATTGAGATGACTTGCTTTTCCAGTTGGAGGGGTGGTTGCCATTTTGTTTATGGTAAAGTTTAGTTAGGTGGGTTGACTTGTAAGAGTCTGTTTTTGTATCTCACATGTTGAGTGTTGTATTGAATTAGAAGAAGATGCCTCGTGGAGTTTAATAGCCTCCTCCCTCAGTTGAGTCTGTTCATAGCCTCCTCCCTCAGTTTCTCAAATACATCAGGTATGATGTTGGCTCAGGGAATTTAATTCAGTTCTAGGAAGACACTTGGTTTTGTGACCGGCCTTTAAAGGAGGTGTTTCCTTCTTTGTATTCTATTTCATTGTATAAAAATAAGGTCATTTCAAACTTTTGGTTCTTCCTTCTTTGCTTTTGAGTCTTAATTGGGATCTCGGATTTCATAGGGGTTTGAGGGATGAGGAAGCAAATTGTCTGCCAGAGCTTCTTCTCCTTGATAGTGTTTGCTTAGAGTTTTCTTATCCAGATAGAAGAATTTGGCTCCCAAGCTCTAAAGGTTCCTTTTCTTGTGCCTCCTTTATTAAAGCTCTTTGTCAATTCTCTTCCTCTCTGTCCTTTCCTTGGAAAGAAGTGCGGTTCCCACTGATTCCCCCTAAAATTCAGGCCTTCTATTTTTTTTTTTTGAACAATGAAAAAATTCAGGCCTTCTGTTGGTAAGTAGCTCTTGGGAAAATTAACACTCTGGATTATTTGCAAAGAAAAAGGCCATTTCTGTGTATTTCCCCGAATTGGTGCACTCTATGCAAATCTGATGGTGAATCTTGTTACCATTTACTAATTTCCTGTTCATTTGCTACAAATATATGGGATTAGTTTTTCTCTTTGTTTGGGTGTAGGTGGCATATGCCAACGGAGATAAAAATGTTGTTTGACCCATCTACCTTTGCTTTACCGAAGAAAAGGGGAAGAGTAATGTGGAGGTACACTAGAGCAGCAGTGGTGTGGACCTTGTGGAAAGAGAGAAATGCCAGAATAGAGAAAGAAAGGAGCAAACAACTAGGGTTATACACTGGCTACAAATGGTGGAACTATTCAAAAATTTCACATTTGATGATATTTGGAGGAATTGGCCTTTAGTGGCTTCTAGTTCAATGCAGAAGGTCAAGGCAAGGTTGGCTTGGGCTCCTCCCATTAAAGGATTTCTGAAATTAAACTTCGATGGGAGTAGTCAAGGCAACCCAGGCCCAACTGGAATTAGAGGGGTCATCAGAGACAAGGAAGGAAACTTAAGAGCACTCTTCTCAAGACCAGTGGGGAATGGAGACTCCTTAAAGGAAGAATTGTACGCAGCCCTACAAGCTGTACAGATTGCAAGAGAGTTAGGATTGGAAAAGTTGGTGATAGAAGGGGACTCCAAGGTGGTGGTGTGTTGGCTAAAAAACCCAGATTCAGTGATCTAGGCTTACAGAAATGAAATGAAGAAATTCAAATGGTTAACTCAGCAGATGGAGGTAACTATACAATGGGTGGGGAGGAAGGCAAATGCTTTTGCGGACTCTCTAGCTAAACAAGGGGTAACTAGGGAACAATGTACTAGGCCCAATTGTAACTTTATGATGTTACTGTATTAATGAGTGAGGCTGCACCTCGCGCCTCATATTGGGATGCTTGTAACGAACTATTTATCATTTGCTTCTAATGAAATCAATTGAATTTTTATCTATCAAAAAAAAAAAAAAAGATGCCTCGTGGAGTTGTGTTGTAGGGTGTTTCCTTTGTTTGGCTTTCTTTTGTGACGTCTTATCACTTGAGTTGTATTTTTTCTTGTTTTTCCTTTTAGTGAAGATTTTCTTCAACATCAAAGAGGGGAGAAAAAGCAACACAAGGGGCTGTCAGAAATCATTTGTATTGGGGAACAATCCCTTGAGGTAGGAATTGATAAAACGAAACTAGAGGGGTATCAGTATCAAGGGGGTAGGAGCTGGGCCACTTGCCTGGCATATTCTTGTTTGTGTATCATTCTTTTATACATAATGTTACAGCTTACGTACACACATAAACATGATTCACTATTCCTGAAACATGGTCCAAATACAATCTGGATCACTTGAACCATGAACCACATGATATCCTGGGAACTAAGAACTAGCCATTAAGGCTATGTTTAGTTTGATATTTAAATAAGAGAGAAACAGAGAGTTGAGGGGAAGTTCTTATGGAAAACAGTAGAAATCCTTCAAGCAGAAAGGGGCACTTTGAAATATGAGAGGCCAAAAATGCTACATTATACAACTAGGAGCCCAGGACGTTACAATTCTCATTAATAAACATTTGGGCTCCCCCATGTATGAAAGGACATACTAGCTAAAATAGGCTTGATTAATACATGATGAGGACTCCATGGACTAGCTCCAAGGCCAATAAAAATTAATAAATTCAAGATACTGTTAGCACAAAGCATGGGATTCCTGTTCATATAATATAGCTTCAGGATTCAGTTAAAAATATATAAAATTGTGATTTTGTTACTTATACCTTCTCATTTTTCTCCAATAGATGCAATGGGAAGAAAATCAGCTATCTGATTGGTAGTTTTAAGCTCCCTTCTCCTCAAACCAAAGGAAACCAAAAGCAGCATCAGGGTGAAACCGCCATGAGCATCTGGGAAAGTACATCCTATAACTTAGGAATGGAGTTCATAAAATTCCTCTCTTTACATTTCCTGACTAGATCTTGGGCTTCCACCAAATGGCCTGAACGGGATAGAGATTTTATAATTGTACTAAATGAATGAGAATCAGGAGTACATCCACTCATTTCCATGTTAAGGAACATCTCTTTTGCCTCATGAATCCTTCCTGAGTCACACAGTGCCTTGATGAATGCAGTATATGTACAATTGTCAGGAGTAAGATCCAACCTCAACATAGAATCCAATAGCTTATGTGCTTGCACAAGTTTTTTCATCTTACAAAGGCATATAATAAGAGCGTTGAAAGAAAAAACATCTGGTTTTATTCCATCAGCGTTCATCTTTCTTAATAGCTTCATTGATTTAGTAACATCACCAACAACACAAAGAGACCGGATAAGGATGTTGTATGTGAAGGAATTTGGAGTAACATCCCATTCAGCCATCTCATTAAAACAATCAAATGCATCCTCTATCTGGTGGATCCTACAAAGGCCATCTATTATTGAACTAAAAGTAAAGACATCGGGTTTGAAGCCATACTCTAAGAGCATCTTCAACAGTTCCTGTGCCTTACCAATTTCCCCATCTTTGCAATGGCCATTGATAAGTGTGTTGAAAGTAACAAGATTTGGAGCAATAGCTCTTTGACACATCTCTCTGAATGCATTTGATGCCCTATCCATCATTTTGGCTTTGGAAAAACAATCAATCAACATGTTAAAAGAGAACACAGTGGATAGAAGTCCATCCTGGATCATATGATTCAAATATTGGTTTCCCTTGTCACTTCTTCCAGCCTTAGTTAATTTTTCAATAAGTTTGAGGTAAGTGTTAAACCCCGGTTTCCCACCTCGCTCAATAAAATCATCCAACAGCTTGCAAGTTTCATTGTGTTCAGAACCCTTAATCAAACAAGCCATCACCATGTCAAATGTTGAATTCTCTGGGAAATAACCCATTTCTCTCATTTTATTCAGGAACTCCATCGCCTCTCTAGGCATTGAATTCTTTGAAAGAAAATAGAGTATAGGATCACAAGCCCGTTTGCACAAAACAGGCTCCCGTTCTAAAAAGCTCAAAAACAATTTATAAGCCTTGACCGGGGCCAAGCACCGAAAGACTCCATTAACCAGTGATCTAAATGTTGCTTCACTTGGAACTACATTCCTTTCCCTCATTACCTCTAAAAGTCCAAATGCTTCATCCACTCTCTTTGCAATACAGAACCCATCAATCAGGATAGTGTACGTAAACACATTAGGGGAGTTTCCTGAACCCTCCATCTGCTTCAAAAGACGAAGTGCCTCCTCCAAAATACCAGTCCTGCACACCCCGTGGATGAGGATGTTATAAGTAAACTTGTCGGGTTTGCAGTTATCCACTGGCATCTGCTGGAATTTGAGATAAGCCAAATCAAGGGAATTGGATTTCACCAATGCATCAATAACTGAATTGTACAGTCGAGTAGTTGGGTTGAGACCCAAAAAGGAAATCTGCCCAAAAACTTCCGTACAGTACTTCGCAAGCCCTAATCTCCCCCAACTACCAATTAAAATGCAAAGCAGGTCTTCGGTAACCGAACATCCATAGTTTCTAATTTCCTGAAGTAACTGAATAGACAATACAACCGGACCTTTTCGAACAAGGGTATCGGTTAACACCCTCCGGATAGATTGGTTCTTCGCTAGTGCGCCCTCGATGTTCGAAACCCAGATGTAAAATTTGAGGGAGTTTAATGGGTTGTCCTGATTCTGCAAAACTCTCACAACCAAATGTGCGCTCAAGCTGGTTTTTTTCACTTTAAACTCATGATTTAGTAAGAAAAACCAGTCTTTTCTTGCAAGTATTATGGAGAAGTGCACATGATCAACCAGTTCAGTACATAATTTGGACTTATTATCAGATATAGAACTCTTTTCCGTAGAAGACAGATTCAGCAGAGAACCGCGTATTTGGGAAGAACTGAACGAAGGCTTACCTCTCAACGGACCTTCTGGTTTGGTGGTTTTTCGATCAAGAACCGCTCTTGCTCTGTCCTTGATGGGTTTATCTCCGTTGGGTCTTCTCTGCCGGAAGAGCTCTTCGGTTAGACTTCTTCTTGCAGGATATGCCTTGAAAGCAAGAGAAGAAAGGCCTCTCATGAGTCATGTCCTGAAGAAAGCTCGATAGAATTGCGGAATCCAACGGGAGCAGAGCTGACGTTCGTTTTCTACTTTTCTATCATCAAAGATGTTCGGGGTCCCCCCGAGTCCCACTCCGGACTCGTATGCGTACAACGCACATCGGCGTATTGGAGAATCCAAACCATCACCGCACCTGTCTATCCCACAATCGTGTCAAATACATGATCCCGCGGTACCGCCATTGCGCCAAAATTAACTTCAAAATCGAAAAATCCCTCCATTACTTGGGGGAGTTCATAGTTCATTTGGGCACATCCCACCAGTTTGAGTAAAGGGGCACACCCCCTTAATAACGAGACCAGAAGTTACATGGTTGAAAAGACCAAATCCTCCCCACATTGTGACCGTGACCGTGAGGTAGGTGGTCCACTGGTCCTACTTGCTACAAAGTACAAGCGACGGGGATTTTTGTCTTTTCATCACTATAGATGTGCCCTGAATTATCAAACGGGTGTGCACAAATCAATCCCCATCTGTTTTTCTGTCTTTTCCGATTTTTCACTTCAATTTGTCTTCTCCTTGCTAGAGAAGCTTTACACCTTCCCTTCAACTGGATTTCCCATTTCTGCGGTTTTAGTGCTCCCTCGTTCTCTCTGTGCATTCATTACTCTCAATATAATTCCAAAGTCAGATTTGGTTAAATGTTCGAAAGAGGAGAGGATTCATCGTACGATCACCTGACAAAGATGTTTCTCGGCGTTCACTTCATTCTCGTGGGATTCGATCCAACCGACGAAGCCAAGGTAATTTTTAGTTCTCATCTTCGATTTTTCGTGTTTCAGGTCTTCTTTTTGGTGTTTTTTCTTCTTAAATTGAATGTGCCGATATGGTTATTCTTTCTGAATGATATGGTGTTTCTTTGTTTTTCTTTGGAAAAGGTCCGATCTAAGCTCGTCGATGGCGGTGGAGTTGATGTTGGCCAGTACAGTCCGAGCTGTACTCACGTGATTGTTGACAAGATAGTCTATGTAAGTCCTTTTTTACCTCTTTGTAAGCTATTTTTATCTGAGAATCTGTCCTTGGTACTTCTCACTCACATAATCATTCACTTGATCCCATCCCAATCACAGTTCGTGTTGCTTTTTCCCGCCATAGATTTGAATGGATGGTCTCTTTTCATTTTTAATTTTTTAATTTATTTGTGTTTTGCAGGATGATTCCATTTGCGTTGCAGCTCGAAATGATGGCAAAACACTTGTTACAGGGTTATGGGTTGATCATAGTTTTGATATTGGAATGCCAATGGATCCCAGCATGGTAGGTTTTGCTTTTCCTCTTTTTCTCCATTTGGATGGAAATTTGAATAACACAGACTATGTTCTACGGAAAAAAAAGCATAATTGGTTTTTTTAATGGGTAAAGGATGTATGTATTAATAATTTTGTAGTTAAGGCTTAAAAGTTAATTGAAAATGATGTAACGGGAATAATATATGTTTTTTTTTTTTATGAGTGAACGGGAATAATACATGTTAAATGCTATTGGTCATGCGACAGTGAAACTTCTGAATCTGAAACAGGATTTGTTTCAATTTCAAATTGAAGTCATATGGTTGAAACCTGAAAAGTACTCTTGATTTTTCCCCAATCGCGTTTGAAGTTTGCAATTGTGGATCCTATTCTAATAGTCATACTCTTCAGCATTGTGCCACTTAGTTTTAATTTCTATTTTCACTATACCATTGAGAGTTCATGATTAGGTGTTTGCATTCTCCATTTATGCTGCCTGCAGGTTTTATATAGGCCTGTGAAGGATTTAAATGGTATACCTGGTGCCAAAGCCCTATCTATTTGCTTGACAGGATACCAAAGACAAGACCGAGAAGATATAATGGTGTGTATTTTATCTATCTCTACTATTTGTGCTTTTATATATGCTATATTTGTTTTCTATGCCTGTATAACTTCAGGAATAATGAAAGTCAGAAGGCAAAAAGAATTTCATCATACTATTAAAGTTAATGACCAGGCAGATATAGCCTTACCACTTTTACTTTGTCTTAGAAAATGGTAGGTCTGATGGGTGCACACTTCTCCAAGCCATTGGTTGCAAACAAGGTCACTCATCTTATATGCTATAAATTTGAAGGTTTGATCTCCTTACACTTATCCTTTGTGGTGTTGTGCAATGCCTTATATGAAACTTCGACTTTCTTATTTATTAAATCGTATTCCATATTTAACAGGAAATGTACTTGGCTTGTTTGAATTTTGAACATCATATGGCAACTATGAGAACAACTACTTGTATGAACGGCTAAAGTTCTCTAATTGTTGGATATAGATAAATGATGCATCTCACTAATTTCTATTGTGATGTTGTGAACTTGTATTGAACCTTTCTTCTACCACATGTTGCAATTCATGCTTAAATCACCAATTTAATATTCGTTTGAATAGTATGGTTGCTTGCAACTTTGGTCAAAATTTGAACATCAGTTTTTCTAGCCAGCCTTCTATTTCCTTCACTGGTTTTATGGATAACCGTCTTTTTTAAAGTGGCATTTGGTAAATCTGAACACTGATCTTTAACATGCAAAAAAGTTCTGAGAACGTTTTTGAGCCTTAAACTATGAAAGCTCCTATTTGGGTAGATTTGCACTTTGTACTTTAAATAGTACAAAAGTACAAAGCACACATTATGCTTTTACTTTGTATTTTCACTTTGGAAACATTTTGGAGGAAAGTTTTTCAAAAACATACTTTAAAAGTAAAAGTAAAACATGGTGTTTGGATACAACAAATTGCTGCACAAATGTGAATGCTATGTGGCATCTATATATGTTTTCACGTGGCACACATGTCATTGAATCATTCAAATGCCATGTGTCACTTGGTGCACACATGTCATTGATGTGATGTGGCATTTGTATGTTTCCATATGGCACATATTATTGAATACATTCAAGTGCCACATGCCATTGAGATATGCTGACATGTTGCACACATGTACAATTGAATACATTAAAATACCTCATGTCAACCGTATATGTTGATGCCATGTGTCACTGAATACAGTGATATGCCCTAAATGCCACATGGAATCCATATATGCTGCCATGTGGTGGTGAGTTTAAGTACTACAAATGTAGTTGGTGCACTCATTTTAGAAAGTATAAAGTATTTTAGGGACCCAAAAGAAAGAAGTATGAAAATCTGGCTTCGTTCTTTTTGTGTTATTACTTTTTGTCTTTTAAATTGAACAAATGAGGTATGCTTCTTTTGTTGATATTTTCTTAGTTTATTAGATGGCATTTTTCAAAATTATTTTGTTCATGCAGATGCATGCACTATTGAAATCATTGTTACATATCATGTTGTTTGCCATTATTAGAAAAATCAATGGTGGTCTGTCATTTTTTATTCAGGTGAGAAGTATGAACTTGCCAAGAAAATGAAGAAGATTAAGCTTGTCAATCATCGGTGGTTGGAAGACTGGTACTGCTAGATTACATTCCTCTTTCTTTTGAAATACTATGTTCTATTTTAAAGTGTTTATATTATTATACAATACAAGTAAGATCTTCATTCTGATTTATTTTTTACTTCTGTCCTATTACTAATTTACTGTTCTTCATCTTGCAGTTTAAGAGCATGGGAAATTCTTCCTGAAGGTAGTTACAACAAGAGGTAAGGTACTCTAGTTCTTTCTTTTGTTATGCCATGATGCCAATAAGGATCTTTACTTATTTTATTACTATTTTCTATTAAACAAGATTTTAATAGCTAATGTGGACAAGTGAAGAGGTGACTGCAGTTTTATCTTTTTATCCACTAAATTGGTAATGTGAATACTTGATTCATGATGAAACCTAGAGAGTATATAATTTCATGGGGTGATCATACAAATACCGGTTCCTATATTTTTTCCTTTTTTAATATATTTTTATTAAGTATAAAAAAGTAATATAAAGGCGCTGAAACTTCTCAGCTATCCGTTCACAGGTTCTCCAAAGCATTACTTAGATTCTCAGGTAAAGCAACCGGACAATTGCACCAGCACTTCCTGGCATGCCTATTAACTGCTATTTGTCTTTATAAATGTTCATAACTTTGAAGAAGTTGTAACCAAAAAGAGTTGACACACATTGGGAAGAAATGGAAAACATTAGGGTGGTGCTTCTATAGAATTGTGCAATGTGTCTTTGCTTACTCTTTTGATCACGTGTATCAATTATCTGTGCTTATATTTGTTGGGAATTAAACTAACTTATTCAAAGTTGTCTACATGAAATCAAACTTTCTAATGTTAAATTGCTTGAAAGGAATATTAACTAATCCAATGTAGCATAGCTAAATCAAAATGATAACAAATTTCTGCTTATATTTGTTATTTTGTACGACTCATTTCACAAACAAATTTGTCCTGCAGCTTCTTATATTCTATGGTCCTTTCATTGAGCTTTTGACTGATTAAGTTGTTTTATTTTTGTCTTTGCATTGTGTCTCCTCTTTTTCTTCCCACAATAGTGGTTATGAGTTAGAGATATTGGAAGCTGAAGCTAAGGATTCTGAAGAAGAAACAGAAGATGGTATTGACAACAAGAAGTTTGAGAAGGGAAATGTTCTGGGGGCTACTAATTCTCATGTTGCAATTCAAAAGAGCTCTGAAATGTCTGTGCCACCAGAAGAGGTGTCAAATATCCAACAGAAAACAGCCTCTCCTCCTAAATGTGTATCAAATGTTGCTGCAGATGTTGTCAACAAGAGACTAATAACTAGTCCTATGAAAGGGAGTGAAGCTGATAAATCCCAAGGTTTCCATGACAAAAATAGGAAGAGCCTTGAGGAGTTTGAATGTCAGAGCAGTGGAGCTTATTGCAGAAATCCTGTTAATGATGAGGCCTCCATTCCATTTGAGAGAACTCCCAACCCTAACATAGGATGTGGAGAATCAACATCCATTGCTAGAAGCACTAAGAGATCCCATTCTGATGAGTTGAACTTAAATTCTCTAAGTTACTCAAGGAAGACTTCGAGGAGGTCTCCAGTTTCAATTTCAATGTTCTCAAAAGAACATTTAAATCACGTGACTGGCTCTCCCCAATTGAACTTACAAGAAAACATCATTTCAAGTGGAATCAAAATGCTGACGAATGGCAAAGAATTATATCATGAGGAAAGGCAAACTGGTGCATTGCCTCAGAAGAGAAAAATTGATGTTTCCGGTACCATCTTTACATCACCTAAGAAGGTGATCCATGATTTGAATGCCAGCACTTCTGGAAGTCCCATAAATGCCAAGTATAAAGGATTAGAATCATCATATTTGAAAATTAGTGCACCCCAAATGGAAAGCATTCCTTCTGTTAGCAATAGGACAAGTCCTGTGGATGATAATGGTACTCTTAAGTCTGTGGAGAATCAACCAACTTGCCTGTTAGCAACAAAGCCTTTAAATTTGACTGAATCATTGAAATGTGAACTGCTTATTTCAAAAAATATGACCTATGATGGTACTGAATCACCTTCAGGCAACAAGGCAGACAAGCATACTGAAGACAAGATAGGTGAACCATCTTTGAATGTTTTAGAATGGTCCAATGTGCCTAGTAAGTCTAATATTGAAAGACATGAAATCATCAGAATGGCTGAACCTGCTGACAGAGGAGAGCCCCAGAATCAACAACAAGATGGTGAAGCTTTGTCTCCCAATACCAAAGACCTGGATATGGATATTGAGAAGTCTGGAACCCCTTCTAATTTGGGCATAAACAATGGAATGAATGATGAAGCATATTCTGGAACATGTACCAAGAAGGTAGTAAGAAAGAGTTTGGGATCTAGGCCCAAGTTAAGTACTGCTAAAACTAGGAAGAGTTCTATTCTGGGTAAACCTATAAGCCCAAATGAAGCTGTGCTTTGTTCTGTTCAAGACAAAGAGAAATTAGAGTATGAGAAAGTTGGGGCTGAAAGGCTCAAGGTTTCTGGTTTAACTTTCAAAGACAAAGTCTTGGAAGCAAAGGAAAATGAGGTCCTGTTATCTGCAAATAAATTTGAAAGAAAAACTGAAAATAAGGCCACAGAGGCTCAGGTTCCAGAGGATAAGGATAGAGACGATCTTGATAAAACATTTTGTGCTGAGAAACCTGAGATGGTAGGGCCAACCTTCAGTGTAAATGTAGCCATTGCAGAGAAGTCAAACCAGATGCAAGGATCAAAGTTTAGAACCAAGGCTAAAAGTTTGTATATGGATGATGATAAAGTGTCTTTGGGAGAAAGCAAAGATGGAGATGAGCTCAAGAAGGAATCAAATAGCAAGAAGTCCAAGACTGATGAATTGACGTCAAAAGCAGGTGTCATTGCAGTAGAAAAAACAAACAGGGGAAAGCATCCTTCATGTACAACCAAGAAAAATTCCATCTCTAGGACAAATGAAAAGGGAATATCTAAGGATGCCGAAGGAGAAGGGTTTGAGGACAATAGATGTGATGAAAAGACAGATATGCCAAAGGCAAAACAGGTGTGCTGTCCTGCAAGAAAACCCAAGAGTAAGACTTCATCTGAGAGAAAGATGGAGAAGTCCACAGATGCAGAGAAGGAGAACAAGCCAATTGACAATGGAGGTCAGAATTCTAATTCATTAAAAAATGGAAAGCCAACTGCTAAATCTAAAAGAGAACCAATGAAGAATAATCAAATGGTTAGAGCCACTGATGTGGATGGGGAACAAATAAGTGGATGTCCAAATTTTACAAGTAGGGAACCTGTCTGGTTTATACTGAGTGGACATCATCTACAGAAAAAAGAGTTCCAGCAGGTTATAAAGCGTCTGAAGGGAAGACTTTGCAGAGATTCTCACCACTGGTCCTACCAGGCTACACACTTTATTGTCCCAGATCCAGTTCGGAGAACAGAGAAGTTTTTTGCTGCTGCAGCTTCAGGAAGGTACTTATAATACAATTAATAGATACCTTTTGTTTTTCGAGAGTTTATTTGGGTTTGAACCTTGGCTTACTAAATCAAAGAACAGTTTCTGATTGCAAGGGCATATTTCTAATGTAAATTTTGACTTGCCCTTTTGTCCAGTAGGAACAAATGTCCTAATAATAGTCCCTTTTAGCTATTGCATATTCCCTTTAATTCTTTAGGCAAGACCTAATTTCCTAAGCCCCCTAATACAGGTGGATCCTTAAGACAGATTACTTAACTGCTAGTAATCAGGCAGGAAAGTTCTTGGTAGAAGAGCCCTATGAATGGTACAGGAATGGACTAAGCGAAGATGGTGCAATCAATTTAGAAGCTCCAAGGAAATGGCGCCTCTTGAGGGAGAGGACCGGCCATGGAGCCTTCCATGGAATGCAGGTTATAATATATGGAGAATGTATAACACCTCCTCTGGTATGTTACTGATCTGAACTGAATAGCTTTTGTTTAAATCATTACGGTGAAATCTAATATGTTATATGATTGTTGCCATCAATCAGGATACTTTGAAGCGAGTGGTTAAAGCTGGAGGTGGCACCATTCTAGCAACTTGCCCACCTTATACTCGGTTCCTTAAATCTGAAGTTGATTTTGCCATTGTCAGCGCTGGCATGCCACATGTTGATTCATGGGTTCAAGAGTTCCTAAGACATGAGATTCCCTGTGTTGTAGCTGATTATTTGGTGGAGTATGTATGCAAGCCAGGATACTCCCTTGAGAGGCATGTGCTCTATAAAACTCATGCTTGGGCAGAGAAGTCATTTGCAAACCTGTTGAGCAGGTCAGAGGAGATCATTGATGCCTTGTCACCAGCAGTAGAGGAGGCTACTGACGATCTCACTTGTCAAGTATGTGGGTCCCGTGACAGAGGAGAGGTCATGCTGATTTGTGGTGATGAGAGTGGTTCCATGGGATGTGGCATTGGAACCCATATCGATTGCTGTAATCCTCCTTTAGAAGCTGTTCCAAAGGAGGATTGGTTTTGTGCAAAATGCAATGAAAACAACAAAAACACTAATCCCCCAAAGAAAACCAAGAAAAAACCATCCTTGTTGAGGTGAAAGTAATAATGAATCAATCCTTTCTTTCTCTTGTAGGAATAGCATTTGAATCTGTCTCTTGCCCTGTAAATTGTAATCAAAGTTACAGAAGCGTAGGGATGAGATTCTAATTGGTTCCACTTCTGTATAGCTTCACTTCACCGCTTCTGTTTAGTGCTGGGTTGAGAGAATGAACCTTTTGATGTGTTTATGGGATAGTACTGCAAAAAGCATTTGCTTTTTGCAATTTAAATTCAAGCCTAATCTAATTAAGGCAATCCATACTTGGCTATTTTTTTTTTACAATCGGATCAAATATGGACCATTAAGATCTGATAATGTTTAATTATAGGGCGCTTGGGAATGTGGCAATTGGCATAAACCCTTTTAACTTGTACTGTTTCGGGGCTCTTGTGAAGAGCAAGGTTTGGCTGAACGCGGTGGCTGTGGAACCAATGATAAAGTTCCAAGCCAATAATAAAATACATGGGCCCACACCAATCACAGTGGGCCCCATAAATTTATTATTAATGTAGAATTTCATCAACTAATATCATGTCGATGACTTCTTGATACACCCCCCTAGGGATTGTATCAGGTCAGACACTGGTTCAGAGGGTAATCGGGCCTTAAACTGATTCCTCTGAACCAGTTTCAAAAAAATAAATAAAGCCTAAAAAAATTACAGACACAGGCTGACATGCCTGATACTTTGAACCTTGATTGGTTCCACAGCCATGGCGTTCAGCTCATCCGAATTCTCTAGGGAATGTGGCATTTGGCATAAACCCCTTTAACTTGATCTGTTTGGGGGCTCTTGGGGGGCGTGCGTAAAATGTTTAGCAATTAGCATATTCTGTATGAGGCTTAGGCCTCAATTTATAGGTGTTATAAGCCTCGTGTTTTCTATCTCGATACATTAAGGTTGAAGACTCCTTTGTTCCCATAAAAAAAGTCTTAAACGTAGAAAGCGTGTTAAGGAAAAGGAGCGTTTTTTTAAGAGGTCAGATTCTCGTGATCTGCACTAAAAATAAAATAAATATAAAACTCACAAAAAGATAATATAAACTTCATCGAGACTTAAATTTACCATGACTTTTAAAAGCTTCCAGAATTCTTGTTTATTGTTCAAAACTCATCTTAATGATAACACCTTTAGTGGTCATTAACATAAATTATTCAATAAGCATTTAAATAATTTATGACCAATATCATTTAAATAATTATTTAATCATATACATAATTTATATCATTAGCATAAATTAAACCAAATTCAATTTCCATTTGAAGTCCAAACGGATTTAGATGTGGAATATTGTTACTTTTTACATTTGAAGCTCTTGGCGTATGTGGCAAACTTTCATTCAAGGGTTCAAGTAAAAGGTGGACCCAAGGCTTAGTTTGGAAGAAGTACAAATACAAATATAGAGTGCATACATATTTGTCTTTGTACTCCTTCCAAACTGAGCCGAAGGATCCATAGGATGTGAGTTCTCCTTTATAAGGAGCACCTCTGGTCCAGTTGTGGGAGGAAGATAGAAAACGATGAATAGTGTTTTTCTTGAAATTATAAACAAAGATATTTGGATGGGCAGTAAATAGGTTGATATTCTCTAATACGTTCCTCACAGGAAAGTCCCTCAGGCTTGAAGTGCAAACAAGCACAGGCCCATAGATATCTTATGCTGAAAATTAATTAATTATAATGGGGACCACAAGGGTTGGACAATAAACTACTCGGTCAAAGTGGCTCTAATACTAAATAAGTGAGAGAGTAAAAAAATAAAGAAAATTGATAGCAATTATATTGGCAGTCCCAGTTCTTGATTCTTCGCTATAGAAATAATAAAATTATTGAAGGATAAAGAAGATTATTCATTGGAAAAAGAAAGAACTACAGCCTAATATTTCCATTTGTGTTAGTCTCATCCTCACCCATATGACATTGAAACAAATGCAACCTAATATTTCCATAGAAGAAGATATTAACAATATAACTTACAAAAATTCCAAAATGGTTCTCAAAGAACACAATAATTTAAAACATGCTTACTTGTCATTTGAACCTTTCAATCAGATATCTTCATGTTGCCATGATTCAAAAGAGAAGTGAATCTCTATATAATTTCTGTAGGACAATGTGCATTTTTCGAGATATGGAATACCAACCGTCGCTCCACCAATCTATTGCTAACAACAATTGGTTCCTATGTACAAAAAATGGTCCAAATAGTTAGATTAACAAATGGCAATTGAGATCTATAGTTTAAAAATAGGTTACCTATATTTATTTTGTGTTTGAGTTTGTCCGAAAGTCTCTTCAAGGGTTTCTCTCTCCCTTGTATGCATAAAAGCCATTCCCTGTCTCTCTTCCTCAACCCTATTATAAAGATAAAAAAGTCTTCTTAGAGGAAACAACGTGAGTCTTTTTGCAACTAAATTCCCAACAGCTAAGAAACAGTTTTATTGATATTGGTGAACGCATTTGGTCTCCTCCTTATTTACCTCTTTCAACATGAGCCTCTTCTCCATATTCTAGCAGTGTTGGGTAATCAAGGTATCAGCAGTTGAGACCATTTTAGCTCTTGGGTCCTCCACATGAAATTAATCCATCTTCCATTAAGACCATGTAGATGGGAGAAGCACCCCCCTCCCCCAAGGAAAAAAAGAGGCCCTGCTGGTGTGGCTCCTAAATATGGATGGGTTATTCTTGGGCAGTTGTATGATCCAACATAAAGTTGAAGGAATTCTTCATGGCATTAAGCCATAGCATATTCCCCACTCATTCAAGTAGTTGTAATTGGGACCACCTTCTTCCCAAATCCCATTGATGGTTATCTTTTCAAATGCAGGAAGATAACCTTGTTGAGAAACATGGATGGTTTCTACATGCTTGTCTCTGTAGTGATTGTTTTAGAGAAGATGAAAAATGATTTTCCGTGGGATGGTCATGGCATTCAGAAGTTCCACCTTGTGGCATGGTCACAGGCAAGAAGAAAGCAAGCGAAGAGATGGGCGCCAGTTCATTAAGTGCTACGAATAAAGCCCTACTAAATGATTTTGGTGTTTTAGTGAAGAACAAGAGCATGTACAGAGGAAAGTGATCTGAGGTAAATATGGTTTTCCCCGGTTGAGGTGTTACTCATGCTAGGCAACAATCCCCCATGGCAGCATTTTGCGGAAAGGAACAATGCAGGTTTAGGGACAGTTGCTCAAACACATGACCACATCTTCTGTTCTGGACAGATTCTTGGTATGGTGTTGGACCTCTTGCTGAAGCCTACAAGAATCTGCTCCATATTGGTGCAGAAAAATTTGCAATAGCGATTGTTATGAAGTAGAGGCTGGCCAGGTGGTGTGGACCCAAGGCTGAGATGGAACATAAATGATTGAGAGGTAGCAACCCTGCTCTCCTTGTAGAATCTGGAAGCTTACTAAAGATGAAGGTTTCTTCATTGAGTTCCTTCTAGAATTCCATAATTGGCCCTCTTTAGGACTCTTACCTTGAAGGTTATCTGGAATGCCCATGTCCCGTCCAAGGTACCATTCTTCTTGTATACCGCAGTTTTGAACAGAATGCTAACAATCAATCATTTGATCTTTTTTGGCTCTTTAAAGGCATGATGCTGACCAAGATGTGTTTGATGCCTACATGAGTGAGATAGTGAATAAGTTTATATTCATTGCAAGATGACTTATGAGGTTTAGTGTCACTTCAGCTGGCTCTTTAGAAGCCCTTTGGCTTGGCTGATCCCAGGAAATGAAATCAAATAATACTGTCGCTTTCATGGCTTTCAAAAGGATATATTTTAAAATCAGTATCTTTGATCTTAAAAGCAGCACGAGAGGTTTTAATTGGGAAATTTAAGAACCATTGATTGATTAGGTGGTCGCTTATTCCGAAACACTTTTTATGAATATTCTAATGTTCATATCAGATAATAATAGATGGAAATAATGGGGATTAGTTGTAATGTAATTGATGTAATTGATGCTGTGCGATCTAGCTGCTCCCTACTGGAGGTGATCTGGCTTTTAGACGGACGGCGGACAGTTGATTTGCAAGAGGATAAGAGAACCCGGGGTTGTTAGCCTGACGAGGTCGCTCCGATGCTTAAGTTAGTATACATGTTGTGAGGATTCCATTATATAAAGGCTCCACCCCCGGTGGTTCAAGGTACGTGTGATTTATATGCTCTCTAGCTCTCTTCATTCTTAAGCTATTTTTAGCTCGCAACAAATATACTGACTTAAACATCGAAACGACCTCACCGAATTAGCAACCCCGGATTCTCTGATCTTCTTGCAGATCAAATGCCCGCCATCCGCGTGGAAGCAAATGAAAGCGGCAGGGAGCTAGATCGCACAGCATCGTTAATGTATTGTCACATCTTTTTTTATTTTTATTATAGCGGTGTGCTGTATTCAGCTGTTAATTTTAATTTTTAATATAATATAGAGCGTGGTTTATTTATTGGGTTCTTACTCTCAAGTCCCAACAAAACCGCTGCTGCTCGTTACAGTTCCGTACATCAATGGGTTTTATGAGTCGCCTCTCCAATTCGGTGGCTTCACTACTTCTCTCAAAGTTGGATGGATCGATCTCAGCATTATGCCCATGGACATTACCAACTACATCTCCGTTACTTTCTTCATGTAACCTCAGTTGATCAACTTCGAGCGCCAATCTTCTTGTAAGGGGCTTCAAAATAAGCCTTTCTTCTGAGCAACCAATCCGGGGGTGGAACACTTGCTCACCTCTCTACAATATCTGGATGGACTTAACTTGAGAGCTGTACCCAAAGAGGGATATAATTAACACCTTGCAGCCAACATCTAACACCCAACAGTGATCGGTACAGTAAGATTAGAATCGGACAAGCACGTTGAACAAGCCGCCCTTTCTCAATTCACGGTCTTTTTAATTATTTTTTTGATAAGTTATTTCTGAAATTAAGGTAGAGAAAGAGAGAGAGAATAGGTTAAAAAAATAAATAAATTAGGCTATTTCCTTTTCTGGAAATTAAGGTAAATTATTTCTGAAAGTAAGGTAGAGAGAGTAGGCTATTAAGGTAAATTAAGACTGGTTTTTTAATTAAATTTTTGGCTAAGTTATTTCTAAAATTAAAATTGAGAGAAAGTAGGTTATAAAAGAATAAAAATGTTTACATTTCTGAAAAAGGTAAAATTAAATTAAGGAAATTTTTTTTTTCTTTTCTAAAAATTAAGGTAGAGAGAATAGGTTATAGAAAAATAATTAAGGTAGAGAGAGTAGGTTATTAAAAAATAAATAAATCTGGAAAAGGTAAAATTAAATTAAGGTACAGATTGTTCTTTCACGCTTATTCGATCATCCCTTACAGCTGGCAAACAGGCCACATTTCACGCTTGGGTGAAAAAGGTTAGAGTCTGAGAACGTGAGGGCTTTGGAAATTTCTTTTAAAAAGTTATTAATTTTTATTAAAAATTAAAGAAGCACCACGTGTGGAACATTTGGAAGGCTTATCTAATATATATATATAAGATTCTATCTCTACTCCAGTGTTGGTTGGCTGTATTTCTAGAGAGAGAGATAAGAAATGGAGGTGGAAGCTGCAAAATCGGTAGCACTGATTGTGGGCATCACAGGCATGGTCGGATTGAACCTGGCCGAGGCTCTGAAGAAGCCAAGAGCTCCCGGAGGTCCATGGGCAGTGTATGGAACGGCTCGAAGTGCAAAACCCAGCTGGTTCTCGTCATCTCTGGTCGATGGCTACATCCAATTTGATCTCAGAGACTATGAAGCAACACACAGAGAGCTCTTCCCTCTAGCCAACCAGGTAACCCATCTCTTCTGGATGACCTTCTACTACTGTGACACCGAAGAATCCAATATTGCTGCAAATTCAACCATGCTGGCCAACGTACTCAGAGTCTTGACCCTCTCGCCCATCTCCCCACTCCACCATGTCACCCTCCTCACAGGAACCAAGCAGTATATGGGCCCTATATTTGATCCCGTCCTTGGTAGCCGGGTTGTCCCACATGAGTCTCCATTCCGGGAGGAATCCGACCGTCTCCCATTCCCCAACACATACCACGCTCTCGAAGATCTCCTGGTTTCCTTTTCCCCCAAATTCACATGGTCGGTCCACCGATCATCAATCATTTTTGGAGCATCGGCGAGGAGTTCACACAACATCTTACTGACTTTTGCGGCATATGCTTTAATATGCCGCCGTGAGGGCTCCCCTTTCAGGTTTCCCGGCAGCCGGTTCACATGGGAGCACTTCTGTGATGCCTCAGACGCTGGGTTGCTTGCTGAGCAACAGATATGGGCGGCCACCACCACGACGGCCATGGCTAAAAACCAGGCCTTCAATTGCACTAATGGGGATGTTTTCACGTGGAAGTACCTCTGGAAGGTACTGTGCGAGGTGTTTGATGTGGAATTCGTGGCGTTCAACGAGGGAGACAAGTTTGATTGGCTGGAAGAGATGAAGAACAAGGGGAAAGTGTGGGATGCAATTGTTGAAGAGAATGGACTCTGCAAGACTAATCTGGAAGATATCACTTGCTTCAATGCCGCTAATGTGGTTCTGAATTTCCGACTTCAGCATGTCTGTAGCATGACTAAGAGCCGGGAATTCGGGTTCTTTGGTTTCGCTGATTCTGCCAAGAGTGTGAAGAAATGGGTGGAGAAAATGAGAGACATGAACATCATCCCTAAAACCTGAGTCGGAAATCATCATCCACACTGGAAGTTAGCCTTGAAATTAAAGCTGAAATTTGATCACCTTCCGGTTTTCAATAAAGTCTTCTTTTTTATTTGCAGGGATGATATTACGAGAAAGCAATCCTCTTCGTCCTCGTCATTAAGCTTTGTCCTACTGTATAGGGTTGGCTTCGTCCTCACATCATAGGTTGTCAAAGAAAGTCTTCTGTTCTACTGTATAAGGTTGAATTCTATTCCATCATCATCATCTAAGTTTTTTCTTTTATAAATTCAACCTAAATACGTTTCTGTCGGATTCAATGCTTTAAAGCATATAAAAAATGATTATGAGTTATAAATTAACACTAACGGACAGAGACTCAGTTTGAAACAGTAGGAAGATAAATATGTATAATATAAATACAAAATAATACAAAAACACAAGAATTTGCATTATACATATTTGTATCTGTATTTGTACTTCTTTCAAACTGTGCTGGAAGTTTTATTTTCCAATTAGCAAATCAAAAACTCTGTTGAACAACTCTTTCCGTCTATCTCTTTCTATAATTTCAAAGAGGTGCAAGTCGGGCATGTTGGGCCAGGTTTACACTCAATTCAGGTCCAATCCTATGAATTGGGCTGAAGGCCAAAATTCGGAACAAGTCTGAAGTTAAGCTCAATTTGTTCAATCCATACTAGGACTTAGACCAGGAGAACCAGAGCTTGAGCTTGGGTTGGCCAATCAACCATCATTAAAATTTGGCATAAATCTAAGTGTTTATGTAATCATGTATAAGAAAATTTATGCATGTAAATATGGATTTATATATGCATGTAGCAGGTTTGGGTTGGACTTAAACTATCTAAGAATTAGGCCCAAATCTAGCCCAAAATATAAAAAGCCCAAAGTTAGGCTCAGGCCCAACCAGAGGACCAAATATCCAAGACCAAAGTGTGTAAACTTTGCAGTTGCATGTTATAAAAGTTAAAGCCCATACGGTATATTATAAATAAGTAATACTTGTACATATACATAATACGTGCACATACAATAATCCTATAATTCTCTAAACGGCAACATTTTGAGGTGGCAGAATTCTCCATCCCATCACTTAGTATATGTTTGGCATCGATGCTGCAGATATAGCACCGTGTTGATGTGTGGGTTAAAAGTATCGTTTTTTGAAAAAGCGATGTATATTTTTTGTTTGGAAATGTTGCTGTCAGGTAGGACATTTCCTGGAGCAACAGAAACGTTTAATGTTTTCAGCACTGCTGGTACTTATTATCCAGTGCCACGTCATGTTCCTGTTGGCAACAATGAGCTGTAGCTCTAGGAAATGCCAAATTCAGTGTTACTCTAAGCCACACTTTCCGATTTTTAAGGCATGGTTTAAAGCACAGTTTTTTATGGAAAAATGGATCCAAACAAAAAGGCGTTTCCTGGAGCACAATTTTTCTGACGTAGCGTTGATATGTCACCATTTTCTGGAACAACGGTATCGATGCTGAACAGACGCTTACTCCATTGTGAGAACAATACAGGTAACATTACAGAGAATACTCGGTCCACTTCCAAATGATGAGGAAACTATGGGCCCAAAGCCCATTTTATGATGCAAAGCATAAATGGACCAATACTAGGTCCACTTCCAAAGACAAACGAACCAAGCTTTGTCAAAAAGTAATGGACTAATGGAGTAATGGTGCAGCCCAATGATAAGGAAACAGGTCTTCTGAGGTGGGACCCATCATGTATGAGATGTGTGGTCCTAAGTATGTTGGTAGGGGTTTGAAATGCATTTTATTGGTAGGAGATTCAGACCCAGATCAACTACCCACTAGTTGTTCCCACATCCTTATCCATTAATTAATTATAGCTGTGCATTGAGAATATATCACTTGTCATTCATGGGGAATACAAAGTGGTGGTCAAGGTTTAAAATTTTGATACAATACGCCCGATGTATCTTTGAAAAATAGACATGGGATATACATGGAAATCAGACGTTTCATCTACTTTCATGCATACTGGACCCGTATTGGGGGTGTATCGGGGTGTACCGGTAGCATATCGACGAAAAAGATATGGCCAACAAATTAAAAAAAAAAATTAAAGGGGAAAGCAAGCTTCATTTCCCAAAAAATAAGCCTTTTTCCACCCCCAAATGACTCTAAAACTCCAAACATCATTCCTAGAGTGCTAGATTTGCAAAAGTTTGCAAGAAACAAGTGTGAATCATTAATTTTTTAAAAGATTTTTCAAATTTTGAAAAAATATGACAAAAATAGGTAAATTATTTCAATTTTTTATAATATCTTGTGATTTTTTTCTTGAATGTTTAAATTTATGTTGATCTACATTTCTTATACTCAAAATGATAATGTTTTTGTGTTATCAGTAGATTTATGGAAATTTCATGAAGATATTTGAAGAATATAAATTAACAAAAAATTTAAAAATGTAATTTTTTTTCTCTACATATAAATACTAAATATGTTTTAGATCTATGGATTAATCTATCATATCCATAGAGTAATTGAAATTTCTTCTTTAATATTTTTTTGATATTTTATCTTTTTAGAATTAAAAAATAAGTAATAATTAATTATATTTTATCATTTTATTACAAATAATGAATATACTATAATTCTATGGATGATCTATCATATCCACAAACCAATAGAAATTTCTTCTTTAATAACTAAATTTTTATTTTATATTTTTAGAATTTAAAAATAAATAATTAATTAATTATATTTTATCATTTGATCACAATGATTAAATATATTATAATTCTATGGATGATCTATCATATCCACAAATAAATTGGAATTTCTTCTTTAATAATTATTTTTTGAATATATTAAAAAATGTATTTATTTTTATAACTTTTACAAATGGACAATAAATAATAATTATTATTAATTATATTTTCACAGAGAAGTTGTGCCAATGCATGTTTTATGGTTGGATAGGAGAGTTGGTTTTTTCCCATCCCATAAAACATTAAAACTTAAGAATTAGAATTTATAAATTATAGTTACGCATAGGATTTTTAATGAAATTATAATTAACTACAATATATTTCTTCATAAAACCATTAACTACAATATATTAATTTAATGTATATACACCTCATTGAGGTCTTATATTTAGTGTTATTGGTCTATTTTTATGATTTATTAAAATATTTATAGTGTTTCCAAGTGTATTTTAGTTTTTCTCTAATACACATATATATCCAAGACGTATCCCGATACGTCTCTTAAAATTGTCTTTCCGATATACTTGACGTTTCCAATATTTTGAATCTTGGTGTTTGTATTCTATGGGTAGGGATGTGAGAACGATTTGTGAGTAACATATCTGTAGTGCAAGATAAAAGAGGTTTAGAATTTAGATTGAGACCATCAAAAGCAAGTTCAGATATGCTACCAACGAGATGCTCCAAACATGTCCCAACTAGCCATTTCAGCGCACATTGTTAACACCTCCCCATAAATGACAAGGGAGATAGATGTTCCCACTGTACGTACGGCTGCAATGAGTGGTTGGGATAGTGTTGGAAGCATATTTTTAGTAGCAGACCCCTACCCACATGGAGCACTCTAACTGGCTGGCCTCTACTTTGGAGCTAGCCTGCCCCTGGCTACATGATTGTATTTAAAAGTTGTTAATTGGTGGGAGTGGGTGTGGGGTCAGATAAGTTGCAGTGGTTGTGTTCATTGGCAAGGAAATTAAAGTCAATAAAGAGTGATAATTACTTTGATAATGTCCTAAGGTAGGGTTAAAACCAAGAATCATGTCATTAGGTGTATCAATGGATCGGAATATCAATTCATAAATTGAAACACACAGCACATCCCACCATGTATTAAGAACATCTCTTTATAAATAACATGAGAAATGTTTTTGATGTATTATTGCGATGTATATTGTAAGGTTATGTGAAAAGCACTATATGAGAAATAAATTTGGACTCATATCAATATGGCCCATTAAACCAGGGGCGGAGCGCTGGGGACCCGGGGGAGCCATGGCCCCTCTATGGTTCGGAATTCTCTACTTGGAATAGAGTTTTCTATGTAAGATTCCCCCTCCCAAACTTTCCACTTCAATGGTTGATCTCCTTATGGGCGGGCCCATTCCACTTTAGGTTTTGACCCCCTCACAAAAAAAAAAAAAAAAAAAAAATTCTGGATCAGCCCCTGCATTAAACCCTTACTTCATGTAAATCAAAGTGAGGTCACTGCAATGAATCAAATTCCCAGTTTGCAGAGAAACAGCGAATGAAAGTGACATAGAGTCGAATCTGCCGTGTGGCGGACATCAAAAGTGAGCAGGGGTTTAAGAAACTTTGCGACATTGCCAGCTGTAACCATAAAAGGATAGAATTAATATAATAAACAAAAGCCCAAGTTTCTTCACTGGCTATTTTATCAATTATTTGTCATTCCTTCTGACTAGCTTTATCACTTCATCTTCCTTTAGCATTTTTCTTTCTTTCTTTCTTTCTTTCTTTCTTTTGCATAAAAACAAACATTTGAAACTGAAATGAACCTTTTTCTTTTTGTCCATCTTTCCCAATATACCCAAAGTTTCGCCCAACACACTAATATAATTGATATATGTATTAAAATTTACAGGATATAATATAACGATGATGCAGATGGAGGGAGCTTTGAGGTCACATGATTTCCTCACAAGCACGCATCATTTGGGAATTGGGATAGGATTCTCTTTAAAGAAAAACTCTGGGTATACCGTCGAAAGCATGGGAATCCCGCCATACACTAGGAACATCTCCCCACAAATTAAACAATAAATGTATAGAAGATATTCTCAATGTATAATTAGATGTAAGTAATTAAATTTTGTAATATATTGGGGTTTATTGGCCAATACATATCATATTGGTGACCCTTTGATATGTCTTAAAGTGAATGTTTTGGGGTTAGAACAATTTCAGGGGGTAGACAGGTATTAAACAATCCCCTAAAAATGTTTCAAAAAGAAAATAAAAAAAAATAAAATGCATTCAACGGGTGTATCGGCCTGTATCTATATTTGAAACTTTGACTGAATGCTGTGTGAATAAAATTTTTTGTTGCAAGTGGGCTCTTTTTTATGATTCATCATACATGGTCATCCTCTCTGCTATTGTTTTAAAAGGCTGTCGGCAAGGCCAAAGGCCTAAGCCTCAAAGTGAGGCTAAGAAAATAGGCCTAGCCTCAATAGCCTCGGACCCCACTAGCAAGGCTTAGGCCCTGAGTTGTTTGAGACTTAGGCCTTTGGTATCAAAATATTCAAGGCTTAGGCCTTAACTATTTGGCATGCTAATGTTAAATATGAAGATTCATGCAGGGGTAAAATAAAAATTTTAAGAAAAAATTATGCTTTGTTTTGTATAAATTAATGTACATTGAACAAATGAATAAACGTACAAATAACAAATAAATACATATAAATGTGTAAGAAAATAGCTTTCTTTATTGTTCATATTCTATATCTTCATTTTGTTCTTATCCACTTGCCCCATACTTGATGATCTATTTTGCATCACATAGATGGTCATTTTTCATTAATGCATACAAGTGCAAGAAACAAAACGGGAATGCTTTACTCTTAAAGCGATGTTGGTTCATATCCCTGAATTGAAAGGTTTAACTATATTGTTTTGTTAAGGGACTCCTTTTTAATAATTAAATAACACAAAACTAACTAAGGCTGCAACTTGGGCCGGGTTAGCACGAATCCAACCCGAAAATGTCAGGTTGGGTTGGGTCAGGTTGATGCATGAGTTGGGATTAGGGTTGAAATTTATGAACCTGAGTTACTTTGGATTGGTTATGATTGACCCCATGGACAACCTGACTCTATATTACATATCATATATAAGTATATGTTATATATATGATCATACATTGATTGTTTAGATGCACGATAGTTGTATTGCCATTATCACATACTACCATTTATTTCATTTAAGATAATCACTTCACTTAATCCTAATTGGAAATACTAAAATCTTGATAACATATTTTATGTTTTCTAAATATTTTATTCTTTATCTCCTCTTTGTTGTTTCCCACTCATAGCTTGCTTCCCATAAAAGATCTATTATAAATCATCATAATAAACGATAGTCATTTCAAACACTTTTTTTTTTATATTTTGTACTTAAAAAAGAACCAATAAACACATCAACAAACAAATACTAATAAAACATAGGATTAATATTTGTAATGAAAGTTGAGTTAAGATCTAAGATTAAGAAGTTTTACAAGATTTTAACTTTTAAGGGATGGTAAGAAGGTTTGGTTGGGTCCAATCTGAGCTCAGTCCAACCCGAATTTGACTTTGGGTTGAAGGAATTTAGTTAGGGTTAGGGTTGGGCTAGGATTGACCTCAGCCCAACCTAACCCAGCCCGACTTGCAGCCCTAAAACTAACCATGCTTTTAATGCATAATTTTGAAAAAATAATAAAAAAATGTGCATGGTTCGAAGTGTTGATATTTGATGCACCCCTTTTGACGTAGTGGGGTGTATGAAGACTAATTTTGTGTTTAATACATCAAACAAGCCAAATAAGATCTCAATTTTATGTTTTTTTATGTCTTTATTGTTTATGAATTGTATCTTTTTCTTTAACTCAAGGCTTATGCCTCAAAAGGCCTTGAGGCTTACGCAGTGGCCCTATGAGACCCAACCACCATGCCTCTGCCTTTAGCCTTTTAAAACCTTACTCTCTACCCACCATTTCAACTTTATTCCCTTTGTTCCCAACATTCTAACATTCGGCCCCTTACCATTCTACCCACTAGCTAGGTCCTAAGCCAATAGATACAGGGGGCTGGGTTGTACCAATAAGGGTATTACCATCATTTCAAATGGAAAGTTTGGGAGGGTTGAGGTATTCTATTGTCCCAAGCCTCCATGTAAACCAATGTTTTAAAAACTAACCGGGAACTAGAACCACTTTGGTCACTGATTTCTAGGTTAGCAGTTTGGCCATCTAGTTCCAATGGATGGCCTGTTTTAATTTAAAAAAATAATTAAAACAAATAAACAGCCAAAAACATTGTTTAGGTCGAACAGGTTGACGGTTCAATCACCTGATTCAGCAGGTTGCTAATTAAATCAATACTTTTCGACAAAAAAATAGGTCAGAGGTGAAATAGAACCAATTGCGTGGACAACTTTCAGGCCAAACGGTTCGACCGTCTAGATAAACAATGGTTCAAAAACCATTCCATAACGTATAGAAGATCGTTTGGATTTTGGCCAATAGAAAATAAAAGTTTCTTTAGACAAATAATACCGAAAACTTATTAGTTATTACTTAAAAGGAAAATTCCCGATTAGTACCTTGTATTTTGAGTCTAGTGTCATTTTGATCCCCAAACTTTAAAATACAACAATTCAGTACCCAGACTTTCAAAATGTGACAATCCAGTACCTGCCATTAACTAGCTATTAAGCAGCCCTTAAGTGACATTTTGAAAAGACAAATGGCTTTCAAGTGTCATCTAATTCTCTTTATAAACTATCCAAACATTGACAAAAAAAAATAATAGTCTCAAATCCTTGCCTCTTCTATTCAACAAAGTTAGGGTAACTAGAATGTCCACTTAAACATAACCCCAACTTTCTTGATGTATTTAGATGGTTGGTAAAAAAATTAAATGACACTCGAAGGGTATTGGTGTCTTTTTCAAATCACTTAATTGTAAATTAACTGCTGATTAATGATAGATACTGGATTGTCACACTTTAAAAGTTCAAGTATTGAATTGTGGCGTTTTAAAATTCGGGGACCAAAATGACACTAGGCACAAAACAGAGAGTACTAATCGAGAATTTTCCCCTACTTAAAAAATAGGTTAGCTTTAATTATATATTAATTTTAGACTTATGAAAGGATCGTGTAATGACTAACGGTTGCGAGTGTTTAATTTAATGAATCAGTGCTTAATTAAACACTAAAAACAATGATTTAAATCCTGAATAAAATACGAAATATCAAATAATTAATGCGAATATGCTAGGTAATGCGATCCCTCCCTCATTCTCGATGACTATGAGAGGAATTGAGAATTTGAGAATGGGATAAGCTTTTGTTTTTGTTTTTTTTTTTTCTTTCTTTCTTTCTTTTCTCGTTTCCCTTACAGTTTTTGTCTTTTTTATTTTGCAACTCCAAGTTGGATAAAAAGGAAAGGTTGCACTTGCACAGTTGCACCTACACCTGCAACTGCGGAATCCAATGCAATGCGCATCGTGTAAAACGAGAGAGAAATCTATAGATGTATCAGTGGCAATCTCGTAATTGTGAGTGAGTTGTTTGGACTTGAGCAATTTTCAATTTTGTACCACTCTACGCAAAACAATATGAAATTAAAATCTCCATGAAGATTGAGATACGGTGCTGTAAGTAACAACAATATGAAATTAAAAACCAGCAGCAGAAAGTAGGAGCAGAAGGAATCCCAACGAAACGAGCATGGCGCATGGGAAGGGGAAGAGCAGTAAGTGAAAATGAATGGGCGCGTAAAGATGAAAGTAAGGAGGATCATTTAATGAAATATCAGATTTTGGATCAATCAGCGTTCCAACTTGGAAACTGTATCCATTTAATGTTTCATAAATACTGCCTCTGCCTCTGCCTCTTAAATAAGTGAGAGATTTCAAATTTGCAGAGTTCTGGTTTTCTTGATAAAGCAACTAACGCGCATGTGCACAGTACTACCTGTCTCTGTCTGCGTTTCCAGTTTTCCACTATCACTCACTCGGTTCATTTTGAGAGAGAGAGAGAGAACAGAGAAAACTAATAAAAATTTAACATGACCCACCATTCTTCATAACCAAATCCAACTTCATGAACATCCAAATTACCATTACCTATGACAGATAGCAGTACCACTAGGGAGCTTAGTTGCACTAACTAAGTGCTCTTTTGACCTACAGACTACAGCTACAAGTTTGAAATCTCAACTGACAAACATTCTTGGTATTGCTCTTCAATCTGATTATTCATCTCAACTGGAATCAAGGGTACCCTTTTATAAATCTCACAAAATTTTTGACATGAAGCACAATAAGCTGGAGGATGAGGATGGTCCCTACTCCCTTCCTTGGTACTACTGTCCAAACAAAGCAAAAAAAGAAATACTTGCAGGCGACAAGTTTCCCCACTCTCTCTCTCTCATCTGTATATAGTGACCGAGTTTGCAATCCCTTTTATGTACCCATCTGTTCGGTACACAGCCAGAGTTGAGCAGTGATGCCAAATAAAGGCAAATCCGAAAAGTGTGCATCATCATTCATCCATTCCATGGAAAGAGATTGAGGTCCCAGGATTCAAGTGTTTTTAAGTTGTCAACGATCATTGGGTCTGAATCCAAACGGTTCTCTTGATCGGGAATGGGAAATCAAGCAGTTGACTTGATCGAAAACAATGTGCAGATAAGCTGAATATATTTACTTGGATCGATGAGGAGAGACCTGTAGAGGCTTCAGGTTTGGTTTACACTTCACACACACTCCTCTTAAATAGTCTCTATAAAAAAAAAAAAAAAAAAAAAAAAGGTTTTCTCTTCACCTGTGACATCTGCTGCTTTTAATGAGCTACTATCACTTGCTATGCTGCACCATTTATCTTTACCAGAGTACAAATTAGATATAAAAAAGGCCACAGTCCACACTCCACAGGGTGAGGGTGCCCTTGCAAATCAGGCAGGTCCTATTATTCCAGAAATGCCACCTCACCTCTGTCCTTTAAATTATAGCAAAGTGGATATTCTCTTACTTCCCTCTTTCTGCAAATCATATCCACTTTCCAACCCCACCAATTCATTCATTATTCATTCATGTAGAAAAAAATTGAGATAAGTTGTAGACTTGTGATCCAAACATGTAAAAGTTGAAAATGGGTAGTTGGGTACTGTACTACACTGTCTGTACATCTACAGAAAAAGAATTCAAAAACAAAGCAAAATGCAAAATTTTAGAACATTATCCTTCAGGAGAAGCAGCAGCAGCAGCCAGCAACAGCCAACTATAACGAGTAAAGGCGACAAAATTTCCCGGCTGAATTTTTGTTTTCTTAATCTTTTTCTCTCTTTCGTTTGTACAAGTAACAAATGAAGAACCAGAACCAGAACCAGATGGATCAAAGGATCAATTATCTCCACTCTTCCGGCGACGACATGCATGCATCCTCCTTCGATGCCCCCTACAATTTTTTTTTTGTCGAACACCATCATCAGCAGCTGAGTGCCTCATACTTCACCGGAATTGGACGGTTAAACCCGACCTGAGACAGCAAATTCCCTACTATGGCTAGATCCCGACAGAATACCCCTTGGTAAACTGATACTGTCTTTGCACCCTTCTTGTCCAGCACCGGCAGCTGCTCCAAGCTGCTGCCTTTATTGTAATCTGACAAAGCTATCTGTTGTTTCCTATCTTCAATCTCTACACTTGTCTTGCTCACTTTCCCTTCTAATTTTGGTTCCGGAGCTGTAACTTGAAGTGCAGCAGCTGCTGCTACTGCTGCTTGTAGTGCAGCCGCAGCCTTCTGCCTCTGCATATCTGCTGCCTCTTCCTCCAGGATTGTAGCCATTATGCTCGAATAACCCTTCTGCAGCATCCGATACAGCAAAAGCGCTGTCATTCTCGCCTGATCTTTAACTGAATCAAGATCGCGATCTTCTACAAACTCACACCTTTCCACAAAATTCATCGCCCTATCCGGCCTGTGGCGCAAGGTGAGCAGCAAATATGCCTTCTCCAATTCAGATCGTGAGCATCCCCTCCTCAATCCAATCAATCCATAGTAATCGACATTGCCCGTCTCCCCTGAAGCAATCCTCTGCTTCAACTCCTGCATCTTCACAGTGAGTGCGCGGAGGTTGCTGGGGACATCACGGTACCGAACATTTTGCCTCTTCCAGGCAGGCCCCGGCAGCTTCCGGTCTCGCAGGATCGAGTCATAGAGGATCTTCAAGTGTTCCAAGTCACGAACGCAATCGGGGAAGCATCTGATGGCCTCGAATAGGGCGGCCCGTGTGGTAAGGGCGGGAATGCAAGTGGGATCAAGTGCCAAAGTGCGATTGCAATCGGCGATGGCCTCAGCAATTCGACCCGCAGCTCGATAGGCTGCCGCCCGGTGCATGTAGCACTCAGCAAGGAAGCCCTGTGGGGTGCCACGGCGCCCGTCAAGGATCTTGGAGAAGTGACGGATGGCCTCCGAGTACAGGCCAGCATCAAGGGCTGCAAGAGCGGCTGTGCGGCGTCGGAGGAGGAGCTTGATGTGGCTAACAAGTTGTGTCACACTCTCGGACTCGGTTGGCGGCAGTGTGGCCGGAGCGTTGCAGCTGCCGCAACTTGCGACGTTAGAAATGCTGAAGCTATCGTCAGACCAGCTCACGCTCTGCCGCCGGAATGCCGCAGAGGCTAGGCGCTTTCCGGTTTGAAGGAGAACCATGGCGTCTTCCATTAACCCAAGATGACAGCAGGCTCGACCCAGAACCAAGTACCTACATACATCATGCATTCGTGAACTGAAGGTCAGAGCCGGTTCACTAATTCAAACAGGCTGATTTGCAGACCAGCCGGCTCACAGAAATTTGTCTTCTTCCCCGGTCGACGACTATCTACTAATTGACGACACTACCCTCGAAAAGATTCGAGCTAGATTCATTCTCTCCCTTCTCATCGTTGTAAATGTGAAGGGCATGCTTGGGTCAAACTCAAAGGTAGAATTCAGAGGAACTCCGGTATGACCATCAGCTTTATTTGGTTGGCGCCGGATCCGCACATGATATAGGAATTTTTATCCTATTAATCAGTTTCTTAATCAAATAGTCTCACTTTGAATTGACCCATTGAGAAACGGGAAACAGAAGAAGCTTCAATGTCAAGCCAGCAGAAAAATAATGGAGAAATCATTGAGAAAATTACCTCCATTGCCCTTGCTTTTCGCAGTTTTTGCATAGACTGGACATCACCTTCTTTTTCAGGTCCGAAACAGAGAAGCATTTGAACGAAAGGTCACGCTCTCCAGAATCCGACGAGGAGTTATCGGACGGGAGAAGCTTAACTTGTTCTCTTGAGAGCTGCTGGGAACAACTATCGGAGGAGAGGTCCGATTCCTCGGTGACCATTTTGTAGCTGGGAATGTGTTCCTGGAGCATATCAGCGACCTCCTTGAAGCGGCGGAGGTAGAGGAGGGATCGAGCTTTGAGCTCGAGAGCCAACTCCAGCCGCGGAGAGAGAACAAGGGCAGCATCCAGGAGATTGAGGGCGGAAGCTATCTCCGATTGCTCCTGAGTTGCGAGGAGGGCCCGAGCGTCTTTCACATATTTGTCTGCAATCTGATCAAGTAACAGGAAGCAAGTGCCGCTAATTCAATATGGATTTTTTTTTTTTCTTTTAAGAATTAAGATGTAAAACCTATGTCATCGAATTTGAAGATTTAGTGAAAACAAACAAATCCAGTAAGCCCATCTGAAATTCATCAAAGAAAAAACCAAAAGCAAGAGAAACCCATCTTTTGGTCGATGCTAGAAAATAAAAAAGCAACCCAAAATCCATTTGGATTAAAACATAGAATCGACCAGTCGACCGCAAAATTACCCCGAACAACCCAAAACAAAAAAAAAAGGAGAAACACAGCAGAAGAAAGCTCAATAAAACAGGGGAGGAAATGAGGAACCCACCTTTCTGTTGCTAACCCACCAATTTTTCTTCTCCACACCAGCCAAAGACGGAGAAGTCGACATGGTTGCAGATGCATCAACCACCGATTTTCTCTCAAAACCTCCTCATTTTACTCCCATCAAAGGGAGAAACTCAGAGAAGAGAATGGAGAAAGAAAGAAAGAGAGTAAGGGAGAAAAGGGGAAGGGAATGATTATTTTAAACCTAGATATGGAAGGGTAAATAGGGGGGAAATGAGAGAAAACAAACCCTAAAAACAACAACCAGATTTGACTAAAGGGAAAGCTTTGATCCTTCAACTTCTTCGCTGGCTCCGCAGAGCCAGTCGGCCAGATACTTCTCTCGCTTTCACACTACTCTACCACTCAAACCCCGAATTAAAAGAGAACAAAGGAACCCCTGTCCCCTCCCCACCCAATGACCGCCTTTACCTTGTAAAAGCGTCACTCCACCGGCTACAGTCGGTAACTCATCACGGGTACACTGGAGTTCAACTACCGGGAAAAAAGACTTGACGCCCAGAAAGTGCAAGAAATCTCACCAGTCACCAGTCTCCAGTCACCACCCTGATATACTGATATGTCATAAATTCATCTGTGTTGGCAATCTATCCATTTACCATTATACCCTTAGCTGGTTTGATCTCTACTTTTTAAATAAGTAAAATTAAATTAAATGTCCCGCCATCCTTTCGCGAACATTCAAATTAAAATTTGACACAAAGTGGCTTAAATTAATTAATCAATTCTGATTCCATATAGTGTCATGACAGTTTAAACACTTGCAAAGCCGTGTTGGCTTTGTCAAATTGTATTTAATACAAAATAGAGTAACAATGGTGAAGGAGTTTATGGTCATTTGATAGAAACCATAGGGACAATTATGTAATTAAAAGCATCATTACATCCATAAGAGGAGTTGGGATATAAGGTTAGAAGTATCGACACGTATCCGTCGATATGTAATGTGTCGATGCATGGGTTGTATCGGGTTAGCCACTGATGAAGAGGGTAACTTGGTCTTAAACCGGTTCCTCTGAACCAATTTCAAAAAAAAAATAAATAAAACATTAAAAAAAGAATCGAATTTAAAACCTTGGGGATATTCTAAGAACCTACCAACATGATCTAATATTGCACATTCTAAGAACCTACCAACATGATCTAATATTGCACATCTCACACATGATGACCCGCCCGAATGAGGCCCTCTAACCGCTGAGGATATGCTACTTACCACTAAGTTATATAACCAATTACGATGTTTACGCTAGTGTTTGATACACAGATGCTTATTTTCTTATTTTCTATTGAAAAATAATAATATCAGAAATAACGAGACATCATCCAAAGATATTCTCAATACACGATCAGGATGTACTGTTGTGGAAACTATCCCGTAGAAGACTGATTTCAACTCGTGATAAGCACCTTGTCATAAATTAAATAACGAGTAGTTATATGGGTGGGATGGAGTTGAAGAGCTCTTTTAAGCATCGCTTAAAAAAAATAAAAGGCTCTTTTAAGCATCCCAATTCCCAAGTCCTTTTCTTCCCCACACCTCCATCTTAATTCTAAGTCCTTACAACCTCGTGTAGGTCAAATCTCCCGTGCCACGTCATAATGCATCTAGCCTGTATCCACGTGTTACTTCAATACGTTGGGTCCCACATTAGCTAGGAATTGTTCAATGTCCAGCTCAGCTTAAACTTTGTAACATGCTTCCTTCTTAAGTTTTTTTTTTCTTCTAATTTTATATAGATATAGGAGCTGGGTATGGACTCTATAAAGTGTACCATTTGTTTTGGGCATTAAGTGTACCAATTATTGGGTGTTCCTCATGATAGTCAAGTCAAGCTGTACATTGAAGGCTCCATTATATAGTATACATCCTTCAATTTTCTTTTTCTTTCTTTTGCAATGTTTGAGAGTGCTTAAAAATAAGTGTTTATTGAAAATAAATGTTTATTTGGGAGGGGATTCAAACCATTATGTACTTATTGGTGTCTTGGAAATAATCATGAAATAAGTGTTTATTTTAAAAATAAGGATTTATTTTTAAGCCCAATTTTCCAGCTTTTTGAAGTGTTCATACAATAGGCACTTACTCAATTTCTTTTCTCTCGTAGTTGTCCCCGATGAATTTTTAGAATATTAATTATATCTGATGAAGGAAGATTTGACCCGATCTCGCAATCGTGCCACGTGGCAAAAAATAAATAGCTCGGCACTTAAAGCAGCGTACCCAGGGTGCAAACACCAAAGGGAAGAAACCAGCAGACCGAACTCCCTTCGAGGAGACCGAACTCCCTTCGAGGAGCCCGAACTCCCTACTAAGAGCCCGACCTCCCTACTAAGAGCTCGAACTCCCTACGAGGAGCCCAAACTCTCCCTTTGGCCTCGAGCCACACAAAGCAGTGACCCGAACTGGCCCGCCTCATGGCAGTTCGGGACACTCCCCTATCCGAACTCAAGACTTTGCCTCGCACACCGTTCTAGCACTTCGCCTCCAGAACGCCGAACTAGACAAACCACACCGTACCTGACATCGAAGGAGTCCGTATCCAGGGGCGGCGCACCTGACTGACTTGGGATCTGATGCTTGACAGCCGCACTTCAACGGCCACTTGCCACCGTCACCTACCACCACCATCTCCAGTTACAGAGACGGCTCCGACAAAAAGAGCAGTGGCAGTTCTGCCCCAGTAGAGGTGATGACACCCGAACTGGCAGAAGCACGGAAGTAATCATACCCGAGTTGACAAAAGCCTAGGAGTGAGTGCGTGAGGTGGTTATAAAAGGCTCTCTACCCCCCAAGAACATGGTATGAAAACTTTGCGCTATCTGGTTTTATCTTGCCTTTGAAGGATTTTAACTTGAGCTTCGGAGCCTTTACACCAAGTTCCCCCCGGAGCTTCCTCATCTTCTCCGTTTCAGGTTCCCTGCTACTCAGTTTAGAGGCAAGGTCGTTGACAGCTAAGACCGGCCAGATTGCGCATCATCAATACCCTTTTACAGAAACAATTTTACAAAGGTACTTTTATAAAAGTAATTTTATGAAAAGTATTTTTACGAAAGCACTTTTACAAAAATATTTTTATGAAAATACTTTTACATGAAAGCACTTTTATGAAAATACATTTACAAGAGCATTTTTATAAAAGTGCTTTTAGTACTTTTACAAAAAACACTTTTATAAAAGCAATTTTATGAAAGTGCTTTTACAAAAGTACTTTTGCATAAGTATTTTTAATAAAAAGCAATTTTACGAAAGTGCTTTTACATAAGTATTTTACAGGAGTGCTTTTATCAAAGTACTTTTTATGAATGTACTTTTTTAAAAGCACTTCTACCAAAGTACTTTTATCCATTCACCTTGGATTGGATATTTTGAAAATTTGAAAGAAAATAAAGGACACAAGAATCACAATTGCTTATTTAAGTGCTTATTGGAGAAAAAGACAACCAAACACCCAATATAAAATAAGTATTTATTTTAATAAGCACTTATTCAATAAACACTTATTTTTAACATAAGCACTCTCAAACATGGTCTTAACAGAATATTCAAAATTGAGGGATTTGTGTATTGCATGATTGGCGATTTAACAGAATGATGACAGGGGTAGCATAATTCCCACTTTTATTTATTTTTTTTTATAGATCCAAAAGGGTGCTACACAAGACAGGGGTAGCATATCCCCCCAAATCACAATTACAAATAAAACCCAAAGGAAAAGAGAGATCTTTCAAATTAAAATTTAAGAAACCTGGAGGAAAAGATTGAGATTCATTGCGCAAGCAAGAGATGACAAGCTTAGAGTCCCCCTCTATAGTTATGGGAGAGTTTCAAGGCTTCCCAAGCTGCCTGCAATGGCAGCCACAGCACATTTATTTCCATTAACGCATGATGCATCAAAATTTATTTATTTATTTTTTTGGTAAATCATTAAAATTTATTTTGACAGGGCATTTTCAATTTCCAAATGATCCAGTTCCATTCTTTATAGTTTTCCCCATCTGGCTCATTTTGATGAGCATGAAAAAGCAATACCATCTTTTTCAATAACCTGAGGCGGGGGAGTCTCAATATTTTCAAATATCTTCTGGTTTCTACTTTTCCAAATGAATCACACAATAAAAACAGTTTTTTTTTTTTTCTAAATTATTTTCTTTGGTATGACATGAAATTCTCTCCCACCACCCTTTGGGTAAACCATCATCCAAATCTGATTTGAATATGTGCACATCGAGCACAAATGTCATCAATATTAACCCCCCGCCCCTCCCTCTTTTTTCAAGAGATCCCTAGTGCGAATTCTGTCTCTTAGAAGAAGAAAAGAATCTTTCAGCCTTGGGGGACATTTGAGATTCCAGACTTTGGAGTACCAATTAAAAGAATCAGAAGAATCACCTGTTTTCTGTTGCTTTAGTAATATAAGCCAATTTATTGGAAAAAAAAATTTCCTTTTTTATTTTTTTCAAATTTTATAAGGGGGTTAGTCTTAGAAAGGCCTACTCCCATGAAAATTACAGAAACCAAAAATATTAAATATTTAATATATTAAGGAATGATCATAACGATACAAATACACCCCGATACGTTGTAACGTTTTAAATCTTTATTTAAATCAACTTAAATATTAACAATCCCACCAGAATATATATATACCCATTTTAATAAGCAAGCAATGGAAAATTGCTGTCGTGATGGGGCCATATTAATATGCCATAGATATGGGCAGATATAAATATTGAGTAGCTGTCCATATACGTGATGTCCCCATTTAAATGTTACCGGAGCCGGCGTTAGACTTATTAGAGAAAGCTAGCCACGCACAGGCAAGACATCAAGGCTCTAGTCCTAGTCACAACAAGGCTCTCTCTTTCTCTCTTTCTCTCTCTCCATCTATTTTTATGCTGTCTTACAATGCATCTGAAAATCCGACCTAGAGGGGGGCTCATAAGAGTGACAGGTCGGTCCAATTCGGTCGGGCCATTACTCAGCAAGCTGACTTGGATGTCAAGGTAACATGGTTTGTTCTTAGCTTTGAAGTTAAATCAAAAGGGTCTCCCCCTTGGAGTCCTTTCAGCGGTTAAGCTGTCCAGCTTGGCCACTCCTAAATGTTCATTTTCTATGGGTTAGTCCAACCAAGCTGGTGCCCACTTCAAGAATCAGACTGCGACCCATTGGTGTGGGCATTCTGATTTTGGATGATTCATCATTGGGCCCTGTCCAATCTGTAATCTGGGTCTGGGTTGCAAGATATTTGTCCTAATTAGCTCCATTTTCAAAAAAACTTGGTCTCATTTAACAATTCCAATGAATGGACATGGAGTCTTGGGCCATATTTGTTTCGGAGAAGTACGAATTTGTCC